ACTGGGGCCTAGGGTCATTTCCAGATGCACAAACGGGCTGCCTTTCCCTGCCCTCCTTTGTTTAGGAGGGAAACTTCACTGTCCAGTGCTTTCCAACCTACTTCTGTGATTCACTGCTGGACCAGGATTCCCCTTGGGAAATACTGCTTTGAAAACACCTGATGTATTTCCACCCTGCTTTTACTGTGTTTCATGGAACAATAGCTTCTCTTATGTCAATCCTACTGCTTGATAAGTCACTGCATCTGCACTGTATTTACACTTGTACCCAGCTCTCCCAGCCCTGCAGGCTGGTCAGTCACCTGGGTCAAGGACACAAAGCACTTCAGACCTTTTGTAAACAGCAACTGAAAGAGTCAGGATAAAAGAAGAGAATATTATGAAGCAGAGGGAGTGATTTCTGCCATCACTACCGAGAATATGAAGCTGTGATTTGCTAAGTCAGGAAATGGAGTGAGCACTAACAGGGATCTGTGACCTTACAACTCAGAACTGCTTTTTAACTTACTCATAATTCTGACATTTTCCACTGTCACTGTAACCCGAAATCTAAAAATCAGACAGAAGTGTGATCTGTACCTGTCTGCTTTCAGAAGCACATTCAGTAAAGCTGGAACTAAAATGAAATTGCTGTATCATGTTTTATGCCTAAACTACATTCTGCTCTCCCAGCACTCCCAAGACAGCTCTGAGCAAATTGTTAATAATTTAATGAAATCATTTGAGAGTGGTAGCAACTACTGTCTACTCCTTCAATTATCTCAATTCATCGATCTCTTCCTGCGGAAGGAGGTGAAATCTCATACCAGACACACACACAAAAATCACACAAAGGTCATGTTTTTTGTAGCAGAGGAGGAATATGGAAGCTGCAGCAATGGTGATGATAATCTGTGTAACACAGATTCTTAGAGCCCAGTGTGTCAGTGACGCCTTATGAAAGTAGCATGCCCAGAACTAAGGAGTCAGGCACCAAAACCACTCAGCAACAGCAACAAAACCCCCACAAAACACTCCAGCTGACCTTTAAATATCTCCAGTAGACCAATATTTCTACAACACTGTCAAAATAATCCTTCAGTTCAGCTGCTTATTTGGAATCCACTTCTGGCATTGCAAGAAGGATGTTTAGCCTTCAATGTTTGTGGACTTGCTGAAAATACTTCTTTGTTTGGCAATTTTATTAATTTTCCTTCCATGCAAGAACCAGCTGGCAGAGAGAATGCACCAGCTGGGGTCAGATGTTCAAGACAACAGAGTTCTTTTTTCTTCACAAGAGATCCTTAATTGTGCTAGAATCAAAGGCTATTTATTTCTATTGCCCAGTCTTAACCCAGCATGAAATGAAATATTAATCTAACAAACCCCCAAATATCCACCAGGACATGGCCACAGCTTCAGATCCAAAGATGACCAGTGAGGTGTGAGGAAAGAAAATTTGGAGAGGTAAAAATGCATAGGAGGAATGACAAAGTACTGAGGCCAAATCAGCTTTATTGGCTGTGTTTGGTGACTTGACCAACCTGTGTGTGGCCAGAGAGTTCAGGAGCTGGTGAAGGTTGGACCATAATGCTGAAACTCCAGGATTCTTAATATTCTTCTAAGGAGAGCTTTGACCCACCTTCCACTAAAGACAAGCTAATTGGCTTTTACAGAAAAAGATAATTGATAGCAGCCTGTTCTATTATTAAAAAAAAATAAATTAAAGAGCACTTTTGGTGAGCTAGTATTTCAAATAAGCTTAGCCTGTTCAAGGGCTTGGTGCCTTCTTAGCAACATTTTGGGAGACGCAGTTTCTCTGTTATCTTTGTACATTTTGAAAAATAATTCTTTTGGTGCCTCTTCTATTCATGACTCACTCATAATGACACAAGTGACTCATGCTGTCAAATTACAAGCTATTACTTTGGAAAATTATTTTTTCCCCTTCCTTTTGGATAAAATATGACAATTTTCACTACTTTGTTACTAAGGGCAGCTTCCTACTACTTAAGAGAGTCTCAGAACTTTATTTTCTAAGTAAAGCATATGCCACAAAAGACAAAAGCATCTCCCACCTCTTGTCTCTCTCACAGATGAATACATGTGAAATAGAACAATTATTTAAAACTAGTTCCAGAACTTCCGAACTTGTTGATCAGTAAACTAAATTTCAATCACTAGATTTTATCTAGACAATACTGCTCGTTTGATTTAAAGATGGTCCCTGTAAGCCATTAGCACATGCTGGCCTAAAATTATTTATTAGGGCTGCCCTTGGCATAGGCAGCCTCAAGTTCTCCATTGCAGGGATTTCTGGTCTGACTCTTCAGTGAAGTTTTGTGGTGCTTTCCCACCCAAAGTGTGAAAGGATGTCCCTAGGTGGGAATTGGCTTGCTTGGAAATGAAATTAAAAAATGAAAAAAGGGTCACAAAAGAGACCTTGGCATATTCATAAGCACAACAGCTTGAAATAAACTTATTTATGCTAAAGGCAAAAGTAAGGCCTGAGATAAAGCTTTGAACTGAGCAGAATGAGAACAGCACTTTCAAACACAACGTGGCAAGTAAGAAGTGAGAAGGGAAGAATGCATGACTGGGTGAATTGCAAACATGTACACAACGTCTGCTCCATGGAAAACAGCAACTGCAGCTACCAATCTGTTTGGGGGTTATGGCAAAGCACCAAGAGGGAAGCAGCACACAGAGCACAGCACCACCAGGCTGTGCTGAAGGGTGAAGATGGTAGAAATGGCAGGAAATAATTTATTAATAATAATAATTTATTAATTCACAAAGCTCTGGAGCAGGCCACCTGCAGAGGTGAATGCAGCACCTGGGTTAAAAACTCCTCTGGAGATAGAGAGGACAAGAGGTGTGGGGGAAGATGTGGAAAGCAGCTTGCTGGTGGTACAGCTACAGCTCAGTGCACTGGTGAGAACTATGAATCAAGGAGAAAAACTAGTTTCCCATTCTTGTTTTAATTTTGCAAGCTCCAGGAGAAGGTCCTGGGAAACCACGTGCCAGATTTACACGGAGAAGTTGTGTCATTGAAGTTGACAGAGGAAAAGTGAACCCAGCTTTATTCAAACTGAAAATAAAGCAGAGGTTTTTGAGTTTTGCCAATAAAACAAATAAAAATAGAATATTTAGTAGCACCCAAAGACCTTATGTCAGATAGTAATCACTTGCTAAATGCCTTTTTTTCCAGCTTAGAAATGGATGCATTCCTATGAGAGCACAGGGGCTGTGCTGTGGAGAACACAGGCTGGAGTTTAAGGCCAGCTATAACCTTAAACTTGAAACTGATGCAAGGAAGTAACAGCTGAAAAGGAATGGTTTTAATCAAATCACCAATACTACAACAGACTTACAGACTCATAAAGCTAAATACATAAACATGCCTCTAGTTGCCTTCCCAGAAAAAAAAAAAAAGCATTTTAAAGAAGAGGAATTAACTGGAGAGCACGTACCTTGCCTGTTAACCAAACACCATCTGTCTCCAGGGCTGCTCCAAGGAGAGCTCCTTGGGGAGGATTGCTACAATCCCAGGGACACAAGGAGACACAGCCCAACACAGCTGTGTCTCTAACAGGGGAACCTGGGATGGGGAAGCTCCCCAACTTCCTGGGGAGCCCTGTACTAAAAAAATGGTCAGAGGATGTTCACGAATGACTGACATGTGCTCATAAATGCCCAAATCAACAACCAAATACAGAAGGTAAGAATGCCTTTATCTGCAGGGGTTAGCCAAGAGTGGACTGACACCTGGAGAACTTTAATCCTTCATAGAAACTGAAACAGGCAGCTAACATGCTGCCAGGAAAACCTTCCCCTGAAGCAGCACACCATAACCCTGGCTGCCCACCAGAAAGAGCTCTTTGCTGAAAAGGTGTGTGCAATGTTTCATTCATCATCTGCCTTGCTCCTTGAAGGGGCAGATGGAGAAATAAAGATTAGGCTGTGTTTGGGATGTTGTGTTAGGCAGCAGATTGGCTTGAAGAGCAACACTAACCTAGCCTTGCTAATCTAATTGAGTAATTCCTTGGGACACACCTGTTGATCAGCTGTTGGCAGGCAGGGATTTTCTGGATGCAGAAGTCAGCCTGGCACAGCTCAGACATTTCAACTCACGTAAGGCCTGGACCTTGGAACAGACACATTCCCAGCAGCCCCTCTCCCTCTCAGGGGAGAAAACAGTCAGGAACAAGCACTAAGTGAACAGGAGGGAAAGCCAGCATTAAATGCAAACCCCCAAATCTCACTTTATTAAATTAAAAAATAAAAAATCTTTTCATTGGCAGCAACCTGCTCAGAAAAATTTATATTCCCAAATGCCCTCGGCCCCAGGAATGGCCCCACAAGTCAGGTGAGCTCCTGGAGGCAAAAGTCTGGTTGTTGCTTGCAGGAGGTTGGCTCCTGAGTCATACCAGCTCCCTACTTCATACTTCTTCTTTTTCTTGCCAGGAGACTGCAACTACTTGCCTAAAGAAATGAAATAAACAGCGAGCATTTGCTGAAGTACTCCCACCACTTGGAGCAGTTTGTTTTTCAGAACATTCAGTGCCAGACTGCTGAATGGGAAAGAGAAACAACAGGAGAGCAAAATCTCTCCTTTAATCATTTCTGAAGAGCTTATCACAGTAGCACTGACACATTCACAGCCCGTTGGTTTCTTGCTGAATGCAAGTGGAAAAGAGATCACATTTTCCTTTAAAACCCAAATGAGCAAAATGGGAAGTTTCAACAAACCTAGAAAATTAAGAGCTGCTTCTACAGTTATCACTGGTTTCAGCAGGAACTGAAGATGCTTAGTGAACCCTGGGAGAAATCCCTGACGACAAATACTAGTTCAAAAACTGTCAAATATTAAAAAACATTACGTTGTCAACAGAAGAGAAAATTAAGATTGGAAAATCATGATTACAAACACTGAGGGGCTGTAGTAAGGAAAGTTCAAACAACATCCCAGTGCTAAATTCTGAACAGCTGAACCACAGAAAATTCCATCAACAGCAAAATAAAGGAATCTTTAAAAGCTTTATTAAATAACACAGATTTAAATAATATAGTCCAGTTCTAGACTCTGAACAGCCATACCACAAGAAAACTCAAAACAAAGGAGTCTTAAAAGTCTTTAATACAGATTCAAATTATTATCTACATCCAAACTGACCTTTGTAAGTAGTACTAGCACTTAAGGCACAATTTCTCCAGAACTAGCCAGTAAGTTAAACAAGACTCAGTACAATTACATGTAACAATCCTTTTGTTTTTAACACTGTGAGAAACCAAAACTCTGCCATACACTGGGTTTGCATTCCATTTATCTATTTGCCTGCATAGTTCTGCACACAAAAGTATTTTGCATTAAGTACTTTGTTATTTCACTTTCCATATGGTCCTTAGGAAAGTTCAGACAGCCAGAATAGTATTCACAGTTAAAACTGGGATGTTTTTTATATGTAAACAAACCCCTTATCTGATAGCTGCAAAACCCTGCTTACAAATACAAATGACTGGGATGTGATTATATCCTCAAAATAAAGGATTCCTACCAGAAGAAAGGTGCACTTAAAAGGCACATGCTTTCACACTCCCAGTTCAGAAAAGTGCTTACAGTACCAAGGAATACTGCAGTTGTACCCAAAGGAACTCACACTAAGTTCTGGGCTTTATTTTTTTTCCTTTTCTAATTGTTGTTGTAAAAAAACCTTCTAAATTATTCACAGTTGTTCCAGCATTCCTCATGCTAAACCAGCATACTGTGCTGGTGAATCCCAGTGTAAGGCTAAATATAAGAACACTTATCAGTGCAATACATTCCTGAGTTTTTGGAACGCAAAATAAAAACCAGTTCTTCGAAATATACAATCCTTCAAATTTTTGGCTCATATTTCACTTGTTTTTCTCATTTCCCTTTTCTTAAAAAAGTTCATTAGAAAGAAATCTAATTTTTATAAAAAGTAAATAAAAAATTGTTGTCACTCTAACTTAGATATAACTTCTTGTTGCTTGAAGAGTGCAAGAAAGCCAGACTAGCATAAACTCTGCTTTTTGTGCAGGCAGTAAAAGACAACAGATAAAACAAGCTTTTGAGAACTGAAGCACTGGCCTAAAAAAATAAACTCAAAGAGCCCTAAATAGTAAAAAAATTAAATAAATTAAGGACCTAGTTGTATTCCAGAGCAAACCTGAATTACAATCCGACTGCTGAAGCTGCTGAGCTTGCTAAGGCACTGAGTTGTACATTTATTTTTCTCTGCCATGAGGAGGAGCTGTGCTGCCTCTAGCGAGAGGCGTAGCCCGTGCTCCAGAGCGGGGACGAGGGGCTGCTCTGCCTGCTGGAGGCCTGGGAGCTGAAGGAATGTGCAGGTGACACGATGGAGCCTGAAACATGGGAAGGAGAAGACAACAATCAGGCTTGGGAATGGTGGGAGACGGAACAAACAACTGCTCTTGATCATCTGCTGAAAACTGGCAATGAACCTGATGATCCATCCCAAGTGAAATCATCCCTGTAGCTCAGTGCCTCTTCAAAAGGTATCCTGCAAGTATCAAAAGTTTGTGGGTTTTCCTGCTCAGGACTTAAGTCTCAGGGGGGCACAATACATTTCCCCTCAGCAAGTGATGTTCACTTGAATTTGCCTCATTTTATCTGAAGCATCAGGCACTTGTGTTTACACCCAGGCCTGCAGCTCACTGTAACTTGGACACATCTGTAAGAATGTGAATGATTTTTCATTACCACTCCTGATTACAGACCTTCCTACATTCAATTCCAGTGCAATGGCCAGACTAATCAATTAATTCACTTCCAACTGGGTGACAGCTGCTTACTGTTAGGGGTGTGCGGAAGACTTGTCTTTGGGTGGAACACTGGCTGATTGTGCTGCTCATTTGGCGAGAAAAATGCATGGTAGGCTGCAAGACAGTTGCAAAACAAAACAAAATAATTTCACTTGGCAATCATTCCTTTTTATCTTACAGCTAACACACTGTAAGAAGCTATGCAAAAAAATTATTGTGCAATCTTTCCTTCTCTTACCTATGATCATAACAGCTGTCCCTGCTAAGAGTGCAAAGAGTGTGAAGATCATCACCTGGTAAGATTCAACAAACTGCTGGAAGAGAGTGGCTTCATCTGCAGAATTGATTAAGAGGAGGCAATATTGAATTAAAAGGAGCATCTTCTCCAATGTGCTTTAAGAGTTAACCTCATAAACATCAGAAAAGCTAAAGGTTCCTGCTGGCATATGGAATGCAGAGCTAAACTTACATCTCACGGGTGCAGTGGTTCTGTCAGTCAGGTAGATCACTGTCACTGGGATGGTGATGGACTGGTCTGTCAGGGGACTGGAGACAGTGAGAGTGGTGGACAGGGAGCCCTGGCTGGGAACTCTGGGATCAGCCAGGCTCACAGTGTACACCACGTAACTGGGCAGCCCATAGGACTTCTCCTTCTCCAGCACCTTCACTGCTGGGGACTCGCATTTCACCTGCACAAGGAACATCCAACCTGGAACAGACTGCTGGGACAGCACAGCACAGCTCCTCTTCCAGGCCAGCTGCCAGCAGTGGGGGATTCCACAGAAACACTGAGCAATTCCCCCCTCCAGAGGAGTCAGGTGTACCCTTACAGTGACACTGGCAGCATTTCCCCCTGCCTACTGCCAAGGGTGCCCCCTCTCACCTGCCTCCTCCACAGGTTTGGGCTAACCCCAAACAAAACCCACAGACCCTCAATGGGCTGTGTGTGCTATGGGCAGTCAGCCACACAAATACTTGGGCAAGACTCCCCCACCACAGGGTTCAAGCAGGTTTTTGCTTCCTGACCCATGGTTCTCACGTGCCAGGCTGTATGCCCAGGTGAGCCTGACACACCTGTACTGCCCCAAGCCCAGGACCAGGCTGGATGGGTTGAGGGGCATCCCATGGCAATGCATTGGAACAGAATGAGCTTTTGGGTCCCTGCCAACCCAAACCACTCTGGGATCCCGTGAGAAGTGAAAACTGAGGAAGAATCATCATTCCAAGATGAGCATTTCCAAATAATCTCAGGAACAAATCTTGACACGGTGAAGATGGCAGGGAGCGCCTTGCACTAGGAAGCTGCATGTGACAGCTCAGAATGCTTTCAGCTGTGCTGAGACGCTCCCTGGGAACACACTCACCTCCAGGCTATCCAGGATGTCGCTGGCACCGAAGATTTTCAGCACGGAGCTCACGTCCTGGTTGCTGAGCAGCATCTCGGCCTGGTCGGCGTAGAACCAGCGGCTGAAGGGCACCTCAGTGCCCAGCTGCTGCCCGGGCCCCGCGCCGCCCCGCAGCGCCGCCGTCACCCGCAGCGCGGCCTGGCTCCTGCTCAGGTGCCTCAGCTGCTTGTCGGTCAGGCTGTGCATCCTGATGGAGCACGTGTAGTGGCCTGCAGGAACAAGACAGCTTGGGCTGTGTGCTGCTCACCTTTGAGGGTTTTCTCCATGCACGGCGAGACTGCTGGGGCGCCTTCAGAGAAAAGCTAGAAAAGGTGGTACAGCTCAGCCAGCAGTGATGAGGGTGCACAGATGGACTGGGACAGTGTGTCTGTGGAGTCAAACATCACAATCCCAGCACTACAGCTACAGAATTATTCCTTGTCCCAAACTGAACGTCATGAAAAAAGCATTATGCTGGTAACTTCCAGTCATATTTTATTCTAATATGCTATTGAGACTCAGTTCCATTTCACTAGCACTGAAAAGCTTTACTGAAAACAAGATTGAAAATCCTATTTCATATTCTTTTCAACTGGTGTTAAAATTTTAGCCACCTACCATCACCATCATCAAGTCCGTGAAGATGTAGTTTATTTATAAAAGATCCTTTCAAAGTTATATATTCATCATGTTTCTAGTCTCACATAGGACCAATTAATCTGTAATTAGCAGTAAAGGTAGTAAAAACTTCCCAGAGAATAGAAGATAAAAAGGATCAGTAAGAAGGAGAACTTGCCAGGTGCATGTTTTGCCCTTATTTTCTTCCCCTAGCTAAGTAAAACAGGCATTTGCAGGGCAGAATAGGGGTTTACACAATGGGTTCAGGGATTAATCTAAAAGATAAATAATATTCTTTAAGTCCATTGTAGTTTGGTGCTGCTTTAAATCACGTTATACTTTCAAAACTTTTTACACTTTGTACACTTAACAAATTTATTTCCACCTCCTCCACAGTGTCTGGCAATTTCCCCCCATTTTAAGACCCAGTTCATGACGTTTTGGCAGGGGTACATTCCACTTTTGGAATACTTGTCACCTGAGTGCTCTTTTGCTTCTTTCACTTCCTACAAAACATGAAGTGGGCCACCACTGACTTCTGGCCTTCTCTGAAAACCAACACAGGATTTTGTCATAGGCAGAAAAACCACTGAAACAAGAAGTGTCCATGTGAGCAACTCACTGAGGCCTGAGCTCCTACACAGCAAAGCCCAGAGGCTTCAGAAGGAAAGAAAGGAGGTTTATATTGGATGTTAAGAAGAAATCCTTCATGTGAGGGTGGGGAGGCCCTGGCACAGGGTGCCCAAAGCAGCTGTGGATCCCTGGAAGTGTCCCAGGCCTGGCTGGGAGCTTGGAGCAACCTGGGACAGTGGAAAGTGTCCCTGCAAGGACAGGGGTGGCACTGGATGGGCTTTAAGATCCCTCCAACCCAACCCAACCCATGATGCTGGGATTCTGTAGAATCTGCTGGACCAAAGAGCTTGTGCTTGTCTGCAGCGTGGCATCTTGTCACACCTTACCTGAAACTGCATCAAATCCAGGTTCTGCCACAAAAATATCCTGTGCTGGGAAGTCAAAGGCATCACTGTTGAAATCAAGATGGCAACTGATAATGGACTGGGGTTGTAACTCAGCAATGGCTTCAGTCTGAGCAGGTGAGCACTCCCCTAGGAGGAAGGAAACAATTCATCTATAATTCATTACAAAATAAAATTGTAACTAATTAAGTTGAATTAATTGAAAGCAAAATCATGATTTGTAATATTGGGTTATTCTACCACCTTCTGAAATAGTTTCACAAGGTTAAGAGGATATTAAAATCATTGGAAATCACTGACAGCTGTCCTTGCTCAGGGTCTAATCCCAAAGAGACAGCAATGAAAATTTTATATGTTATGGGGTTTTCTTTACAGGAATAATTTATTTAGAGGAAAGAATAAGCTGCACAGAATTTTCTGCTCAGATGTCTCTTGAATAACTTACATGATCCTGGGAGCCTCAAGTTAGATTTTAGTATCTGGTGAGATGGTATTTTGGTAGGCTAATAATTTAGAAAAGGCAAAATAAAAAACTATTGGTAGAAGTGCTAATTGTTAAACTAGAAGCTAAAAGTATCTATCATCACACAAAATACAGCACATTGAATAGAGGACACAATGTGATGGTTAATCTTTGTACTGATTCTGACTGGTGACAAGTTCTGTAAAGATTTAAGGATGGTAACTAAGTAAGAAAATGTAACAACTCCAAGAAGGCAACTGCAATTAAACATACTAGCAATTAGCTGTTTGCCCATTAACTGTTGTTTATATGATTAAGAATGGTACCTCCATTGAAATCTACTGATTTTTTTTAGTTGTGAAATTTACTAGTGCTCCAGAACACTTTCCAAATTCCATCCCACAGCTCCTAGAGCTCCTGGGACTCTAGAAAGGCATTTGAGGTTCTTGGGGATCTTGTTACCCTTAAACAACAAACAAAAACCCCATAACACAAACAAAAGCATCATTAATCCACACACACACAATAAACATCAGCATAAGTAGTTTTTAATCATACCTTTCAAGTTTTTGTTTGTTTCCCCAATTAAAACTATGACTTTTGAGGCTGCCACTCCCTGCAAGCTTGCCTGCATGCCACTGACATGCATTGCTGTGGTCCTCTGAGGTGCATTAATCAAGATCTGAAAAAAGGATGAAGCCCATTGTTACCAAAAAGTGCTTCAACAAATAAAAATTAAGGCAAAACCAGACTGGATTGGTTGTGAAAGACTCCAGGAGGTGAGGTGATGTTTTTCTTTGAAATCCCACATTTCTCTAATATTAGAAACTGCCTTTCCAAGCAATTTAAGCGAGCAAAAACATTTTGTCTTCCTGCCCAGCCCCTAGAAGTTAATATGCATAAAGCTCTATGTCTAAATTTAATTTTAAAAGAATGTCTAGTGTTTATGCTGGTTGATGCAGTGAATTGTGTCAACAGTACGACTGCATAGCAGATAAACAAAATAATTTAATGGAGTACTTCTGATCAGTGATGCATGGCACAACACCTGAGCAAGTTCTTGCTGGCATCTCATACTGCACTGAAGTTTCATTCATAACAGCAGCCATACTCAAAAATCGGTTAGCACCTGGAAACAACTCAGCCAACAAAGGAATCAAAATGTTCAATATAAGCACAGTAGAGGTGAAAAATCAAAATTGCTATGCTACATTTACCTCCTTAGCACAGATGCTTTAAAAAAACATTATGTTTTTGGCCACGTACCAAATACTTCCCAACCATCTGCATTTTTAAAAGAACATTTCTAAATATTTCTAAAACAAAAAAAAAAAAAAATCCACAGAATGCAATTTGGTGAGCATTCAAACAAACCAATCTCAGCAGGACCAGAACAGTGCCTCACCTCTCTGTAGGTTTTCAGTAACCCAGGGATCTCATAGTAAACAGTGACCATCCCAGAGTCCCTTGCCAGGGCCACACCAGTCTTGGAGTCCATGAGAAGGAGAGCACTTGAGGAGGAGCTCCACATACCTGGCAGGCCTGGAAAACACCACGGGGGCACTGCTCACACCCTGCTGCCAGCTGCAGCATTTCCTGGGCACTGGTGTCTGAGAGTGCCACTGCCAGGCAGGGCACACCCCCCCCGTGCCCAGGAACCACTGTGGTGTCTGAGAGTGCCACTGCCCAGCAGTTACTCTGGCACAAGCCCAGCAATACCAACAGTCAAACACAGTGAGTGAAGGCAGGCCTGACTCTGCTGGAGTCCCACAGAACCAAGCCTTCACAGCTAATAGAATAGAAATGTCTGAAGTGTGATGCTCAGGAGTTCAAAACAAGAGACGTATTGCATGGTGCAATTAAAATTAGAGGAGTTGATCAAACCTATTTTTATAATGAACAAGAACAGTGACATTTTATTCTGAACAAACATGGTAAATTATGCATTTGGTTTTGCTGAGACTGGTGTCCCATGGAACAGCTGCTAACCCACACAGCTGGATGGAGGCCACTCACCTTCCTGGTCCGTCAGCAAGGTCCTCAGGCACAGGACATCCCCCACCACCACGTCTGGGAGCTCTGGGAAGATGGCAGGCTGCACAGGCAGTGGGATGTAGTCTGCAGTGCCACTGTGCTCCGCATCCCACACCCTCAGCAGGGTCAGCCCCACATTCACAGTCCTGACCACAAAGGTGTTGTTGGTGGCTCCCCTGGCGATCTGCACGAAGTCGTCTCTGCACACAAACACAAGTGCTGCTGCATGAGGGAAGGCTTGGGAATGGCACTGTCTGTCCAACTAGAGAGGTATCAACCCCTTCAGCTGGCTGACTGCTTGCTTTCAGGAACAGTCGTCTGATGAAGTCCAGCAAAGTAAGGAAATTATAAAAATTATTTAGGTGCCACTGAGACAAATTACAGTTCTCAGTTCACCACTATGCCGAGGGAATACCAAGACTGTAATTATGCATGAAAACTACTTCTTAATTGTGAGAATTGTAGAGCTTTAGAATGACATAATCTGTCTCTTTTCCCTTTTCTCAAGGGAGTTAGGAAGCCAAGAAATTTGAACACCAATATGCAACTTCCCAGACACAATGCCATTGGATTGCCAGTTCTGGTATTCACCAAACTGAGCAAGGTGCTCTGCAGAAAACAAACCGTGTTTCAGTAACAGCATTAGTGTTATTTTACTGACGAGCACAGGAGGCTGCTTCACAACATTTATTCTGGGAGGCAGAGACCAAAGGCTTGTCCCTGCTGTGGGAAGGTTGCACAAGACTATATGAGGAGACAGCCCCTGATCCAGAACATTCCCCACCTTACATAAACCCTCAGTGAGTCAGTGGAACACAGCACTGGGAGAGGCAGATGCTGATGGATCAGTTGTCTCTCTGGGCCACTGCTGCATGCAGGGGGATGATTCAGAGTCACTCAGAGCAGAGCACAGCTCCTGCAGGCCCTGCTGGGACCATGCTTATCTGGGCAGCTTTCCATGGCTAGGGAATATCGATTGCTAAATGCAACTCTCCTTCCTGCCACTGCCTCTGAAGGCCACAGAGACAAACCCTTGCTTTGCTAATCCCAGCCCAAGCTGCATGTTCACTTGGTATCTCTGGAACAATCTTTGTTCTGAGTGTCTGGCCTATTTTTGCTCTCTGTAATTATCACCCGTGACAGACACCTACCTGTTGGTGGCAAAGTTGAACACAGCATTGTGTGAATGGAAAGTATCTCCAGAGTTATCGTGGAAATGGACTATAAATGTCAGTGTCACACCCAGGGGCAGGGCTTGCAGTGCCTCCTTGCTCTGGGTCAGCAGAAGAGGCCTCATGGAGATCCTGAGGTAGGAGATGGGGCAGACCTGGAAAAACATCAGCAGTGAGAAGGAAAGTTAAATTGCTTTTTATGATGCCCGTAAAAATAATCTGAAAGAGTTCTTTTTATGTAAATATCCAGAGCTGCCTCTATAAGTCATTTGCATTTAGCCATATGCCAGGACTAACACATGAAGCTGTTGTTATCAGTATCTCCACTTCACAGGCTGAAAGGAGCCTCTGACACTGTCCAGTCCAGCCCCCCTCTCAAGCTGGGTTACTCAGGGCCAGCTGGCCAGGACCACGTGCAGGCAGCCGCTGGGCATCTCCTGGGATGGAGACTCCACAGCCTCCTGCACTCTGTGCTCAACAGCCACCCCAGTACAAAGTGCTGTCCCATGTTCACACTGTGGTTCCTGGGTGCTCCCCTTGTCCTGCTGTCCCATGTTCACACTGTGGCTCCTGTGTGCTCCCCTTGTCCTGCCATGGCAGAGAAAAGCCTGGCCCTGTCTGCTTTGTACCCTCACAGCTGACATTTCTTAGTCCTTTTTTTCTAGTATCACTGGGAACTGAAACAAGCTATAGCCATGCAGAAACATACATCACATCAGACTCCAGAGAACACATTACTATCCTCTCAACTCAAACTGTTAGGACTCCCTGGCTATGCAAGAGAAGAAGCAGCCCCATGACCTGTCTCCTAGTAATTCCTGAAATAAAAGGTGCAATTCATTGCCCAGGTATAAGAAGGGTAACTCACAATGTAAGGGGATGGAATAGTCACTGTTGCCCAGCTACCCTGCAGCAGGTGAAAGCCAAGCTGTTCCAGGCAGAGCTGGCAGCTGACAAACCCTGGGGCTCAGTTCCCTCAGTGCCTCCCCTCAGCCAAGACAGAAGGTGGAACTGCTCCGAACTCCTCAGGAGAGTCTGCTCCATTAACCATATGTGCACACCCCCACATTTCTGCAGTAACACTTCAGTCAAGAAAGGTTTTCTGAAGACAAAGACTTGACAACCTAATATTTTGGCTTTTAAATAGCATATTACTATTTTTGATTAACTTACCTAAGTTAACGAGCAAAATTACCCAACAAAAATAACTATAGCTGCTCTTTTTGTTAAAGCTGATGGAAAATAAACAATAGATGGACAGAGGAAGCAAAACCCCTCAAATATATTGAGAAAACTATTTTAAAAGAAGGCCTCAAGCTTATCTTGTAGAAAAATCCCTTTATTTTCCTGACCTCAGAGGCTCAGCTAAAACGTAAAACCCTGCCATCTGAAAATGTACATGTCAGAACTTAAAAAGGAAAGGACAAATTTGGCCTCAAGCAAAATACATATTTGGTAAATCCTTAAAAAAAAAAAAAAAGAAAAAAGTGGCTATAACATTAGTATATCCCACTGTCTGCTCCACAGGCTGGTTTCATCAGTTAAAATCTTTGTGCATAGAGATAGCTGCCCAACAAGCTGGTTAGAAGCCAACAAAAACTCCATTTCCCTGACAGATTATCAAGCTTGCTTTACTTTAAAATCTCAGCAACTGTCCCACAAGGGACAACTGCTAAATTTAATATTGATGAAAACAGCCTTTTACTGTTAAAGCATCTCAGGTTTTGATGTATTTTTTTTTTTTAATTCAAGAAAAAATAAAATAAAATACTGAGTGCAGCAGGTCCAGGCAAGTGCTGAGCTTGGCCCCATGCTAACCTCACTATCACTCCTTCTTCCCCCACCCTTATGTAAGAGCCCTTCTTTGAGCCAAGTTCAAGGTCTAAGTGTCAAGTGATGCTGGTGCAGCAGTTTGGTTCTTAATTGTGTACACTTGTAAACAGACAACATCAGACCTTATGACAGAAGGACAAAGTGAAGGAGAGAGCTTTGCCTTAGAATGACACAATAGATTCAAGCTCATCTCCAGCTCTGTCACAAGTTTTCTGACATGACCTTCGGCAAATTCTCTCAAGCTCTCTCAGCTCTTCAGCCATAAAATGAACTGTGTTACCTCCCGAGGTTAAAAATATAATTTCCATTAAGGCACTACAGTTGTAGTGAGTACAGGAAAACAAATGAGCTGCACAAGGTGCTGAACTGAGATGGGTTCTACTACAGAGAGCTTTGTATCACCACCCTGTGTACAGGACAAACTCACACAGGGGGATCTGACTTCAGTCCCACTGGGTGCTGACTAAATGGCATCTGAGCCACCCCAAACTCATCAGACATCTTTCACTTGCTAAAGGGAAGAAACAAGGTCATCAGTAACAGAGCTGGAGAATTCACTGCCACCACCTCACAGCAGAGGTGGCTTTAGTGACACTGGGCCCCATTTGCTATTTCATTCCCCACCCTGGAGGATAGATCCACACCATGTCCTACAGGCAAAACTGAACATCATGGTAAATACCAAAATTCAAATTAAAAAATCCACCAATCCCCTTCACAGTGATTACAGGAGTTAAACTTAGAAATAACTTAAAACTCTCAATTGTACATTTTTCTCCTTTAGCTGGGACAGAGGGAAGATGCTGACAGTAAAGAGATAGGAGGAAGTGGAGCAGTGGGTATCTCAAGGCTCATGCTGCCAGATGCAGAAAGTTCTTGGCTCAAGGAGTTTTTCAACAAAAATGATGGGCTTACATTCCCTGGTGTCCCACAGTTCAAAGCTCAGAACTGTTAACTCCTACACTGCTCATTTCTCAGAAGTGAAATTCAAGAAGTGCAGCCAACAAACCCTGTTGCAGCAGTGAAGATGTACTTGAGGAAACTGCAAAGGAAGGGAGCAGAAAGTACCTTAACAGCAACTATGATGGTCTGGTTGATGCCAAACAGCTCTTGTGAAGTCACTTCAATGGTTGAGGATCCGATGACAGACCCAGAGATGAGGAATCCTCTCTCATCGATTTTCACTACAGGGACTTTGTCTGGCCCATCCAGGACACGGTAACTTAGGGAGGCCACTCGGTCCCTGAAGCAAAACAAAGTAAGGAACCCCTTAAATGTGTAAAAACTTATTCAGGGTCTCTTCCAATACAAACCATTCTGTGATTCCATGAAACTAAAGGTTCTCTCCCCCTTAAATGTAAATGCCTCTAAAGCTTTGCCCTCAGTGTGCATCCTACTGTCTCTATGTGGCCACTGTTATGCTAGGAAAACTACATTTCAAGCCTGGTATGAGTCTAAAATGTCAGTCTTTGAAAACAGATTATGTAAAAAGAATTTCTCATTTGGAAATGACATTTTAATCTGAAAATCCAGCCATAACCTCTGTGTGCGAAATACACAGAATTATATTCCACAAAGCCTCAATCACCCATCAAAACCTCTACAGGAAGCAGGCAGCAGGATACTGCTTTAACTGGCTCAGCTGCTTTAAAAAAAAGGATCTGAAAGTTCCCAATATTGAATGAATTTTCCAGCCACAATCTAATACAAGATTTGACAAAACCCAAGAGAACAGTAAGATACCATGAACCAGCAGGTAAGTTGTGTATTAAATAGATGAACAGTGCTGCTGAGAGACTGAAACAGCTCCATTAAACACAACTGCCCTATGGTTGGGATAAACGGGTGACACAAGCCACAGTATGGAAACTGAGCACTGACCTGTTGGTCAGAAGTTTAATGAAGGAATTTGGCGACATGAGGATCTGCTCTGCTTCTGCCTCTGGAGTGACTAGATGAAGTTTTTCAAACACCTGGAAAATAAGAGGCATTTTGGCCCACTGTTGTGTGCAGACAGTAATTTATTTATTTAATCTTCAAAACAAACAAACAAACACAAACAGAGCTATAACTCTCTTTCTTATCTTGTATAATACATACGGTAAAATAAGACAACTGAACATGACTATTCGAGAATAGAAGAGCCACTACCTTCTACAAGATATTGTGAGAGTATTTATTTCCAGGGTTATGGCTAAACTGGCTTGTAGTAAGTTCAGGAATTTTCTTCAGCATGACAACGTAAGATTTCTCAAGGGAAAAAGTGCTGGGAACCCCATATTCACCTGAGTTACTTTAGACTCCCCCTGCTCCCATGAGCCCATGAACTGAATGAGCCCCAATGAGGAACGTACACACTTTACCTCACTGTGCCTTGTCCTGACATCCAGAGTGTCCCTCTTGGTGACAGACCAGTGGAACGTTAACCCCGGCACAGCATTGCCAAAGGAGAAAGGAGTCTGAGTGCTGGTGATGCCCATGACATAAACTGGCATCTGGAAAGAGAGAAACCAGCCTGCTTAGGTATTGCCAGCATGCAAACCAAACACCTGCCCACAGCAAAGGGAATTAAAATTCACTGATCAAGGGATAGGGCCTCTTACAAACAAAATGGTTCCTCCCAGAGCAGTGGTGCTGTCACCAGACAATGTGACTGCAATGAGCACAAGATGCAGTTCCAACATGTGAAGGTGACAAAGGCCAATCCCAAACTAGCTCACCTGAGTACCAGCTTTCATTCGTGTGATGGGTGCCCAAATTCTCACAGCTGTCAGCTGTACCACCTCAACTTCCACCTTGTCCTGGGAAGAAGGGAAGTCACTGTAAGCACTTGTCAAACAGAAACCAGATTTCACTTTCAGGCTCTATAGACACTATTTTGCCATTATCTAATCACTGTTGCTGTGTGATTAGCATGACTTGCCAGAGGAAACATAGATGGACAAATTCAGTAGGACTGTAAAAAACTAAAAAGGATTAAATTTTGATTGATAAGCATTTAAAAATGCCCCCTAAATTGAAAAAAAATCTGCTCAAAATTACTGATGACATGAATGATGGAGCTGAGAGACAGCAGCAGACAAGATCACAGGGGACCCCAGCAGAAGAGGGATGAAGAAATCCAGGGGTCAAGGAAGACATGATGCGGAGTTAGAATGAAATGAGGATTGTAGAGCACTTAATGGGACAACTGAGAATAAAAGGATGATGTTTGACTCTGATATCTCCTCTTAATATATCCAGGCACTCCTGACAGATTTTATTCCTGCTATATACTGGGTTAGGAAAGGTCAGACCTGGGCCTCACAGAGCAGCAGATTGACATTTCAAGTTCACTTTGCCTCCTGTCACACCATTAGGGCAGACTGCTGCCCATACATTAAAAAGCAGAGATTTCTTGATATTTTATTTTTTTAAAAAACTCACTTTGTGTCTTTCTGGAGCATGCTGACACCTTTCAAGCAGCAGAGCTTTGTGGTTCACAGCAGCTGTGCTGCCCTGAGCACAAAGGAAGGAAGTCATAAGATCTGGCCCAAGTTCTGTTGCTCTGAATCTCATGCAAGTCCCAGGGACTTCTGCTCCCTTGCAGGCCTGCCCACCTCCCTCACACTCAGTTGCAGGAAAATCTAAGGACACAGACTCTGAGGGAATATCAGGGATTCACTATTTGCACCTCACAGATGGGTTCAGACCACAACAAGGGGTGAGTGTTCTATACAGGCTGCTGCAGCTTAGGAGACAATGTGTGTTTTTTTTCAGCAACAGCTACCTTCTGGATCCTCCTGACCTAAGAGGGAATGCAGACAAGGACAACCTTCTGCTCTGCTGGAAAGGCTTCTTTAGGTGGGCTTTTCTAGATGCATTAACCAATCCTGAAGATATCAGACTGGTCAAAAAGCCTCCCTGGTTATCTGTGAGCCTCTGGTTTAAGGCACAGCAAGATTTACCCACCTGTTCAAAGTACTACCTGTGCCAACACCTGTGTAAGTTCACGGGCCAGGGAGAAGGAACTCTTGAGTTTTCCTCTTCAGGAAACCAGAGGAGTGCATGAGGTAACACTGCTCATGCATAAAGACTGTGCCCCCTTTCAGAGCCAAAGCCATGAGTCAGAAAGCCCCTTTCAGCCCCCAACAGCACAACAAACATTACCTGGGATACAGCCACAAGCTTCTCTGTCTCTGCATCAACAGCCTGCAGCACTCCTGTCACCACCCCACTGCCAATGGCCACTCCTCTGACCAGCCCAGAGCTGTTCACTGCTGCAATGTGCTCGTTGTCAATAGAGAAAATGATGTTGGAGAGCGGCTGAGGGCCTCCCTCAGCAGTGATCTGTCAAACAGCACACAGAACAGCACAAGAATCCTTCAGTTAGTTCTTCTAGTCACCACAGGACACACCCTCCCTGCTCAGCACCACAGTGACTTCAGTGCTGCCTGCACCTTCCCAGGACAGCTCCAGGACTATTCCCCCTGGTCCTAGCAGGATGTCAGCCTGGGAAATGTGTGAGCTAAGCACACAATGAACCCTGTGCCTCACAGAGTGTCACAGGCTCATGCCACCTCCACTCCAGAAAGTTTCAGTAAACTTTACCTCCCCTTCTCCTCAGCACCCTGGTGCAGAGCTCTGCTCTCTGTTTCAGTGTGTACAACAAACCCACTATGCCTAACTTCATGGAGCTGGCAGATTTATTCATGCTGTGCTGGTATTTTAACACCAGAAAAGCTGACACTCAACTGACAAAAGCAAATACAAATCCTTTGATCCAGCAATAGAGCAAAACAGAAGCTGGCTCAAGAATGAGATCCTGTTCTTGTTCATGGGAGCATTCATCACAGAAACACAATGGGTTGGGTTGGGATGGACCTCAAAACTCATCTTGTTCCAAGGGCAGGGACACCGTCCACTATCCCAGGTTGCTCCAAGCCCTGTCCAGCCTGGCCTTGGACACTTGCAGGGATCCAGCCCAGCCACAACTTCTCTGGGCACCCTGTGCCAGGACCTCCCCACCCTCACAGGCATCAATTGCTTCCCAAAATCCCATGTGACCCTGCCCTTCGTCAGGGCTGAAGCCACTCCCTGTGCCCTGTCACACCAGGCCCTTGCCCAAAGTCCCTCTCCACCAATCCTGTCAGACCATTCAGTGTGAATGCAGACAAATGTCAAGTTGAGTATGTACTGCTGAAAATACAGATATGAAGATTCATTTTACAACAGAAATTACCAAGTAAAGAAAATATATAAGAAGATGCCTCACCTGAATCATGGCCCCAATAATTAGGGTCACTTTCCTTGGCAGCAGTCTAAATGGGGGAAAGACCTAAAAACAGATGTATGAATACCTGTGTTTAGGCTCCTTCAGACAGATAAATTATGCCACAAAACAGTACAAGTGTAAAACTGAGTCTTTAGTTGCTTAATCACAGTAAATTGAGCATGCAGAAATTTAACTCATTATATGCAGTTAAACAACACTGAAATCTGACCGGCATTAGGTCAGCTTCCAGACAGAATTAATTTTATGGCAAATTGATTACCATACTGTAACCATAATTTATGTATTCCTGTTCCATTGTAGCACAGACTTTATTTATGCATGATGTATCTTATCTGAAATTATTTACTTCAATCTGCTGTGGAGCAGAGTTGATTCTCTGTCCTCTTCTGTCAGCCACAGTTGCCATCAGGCTCGTCTGCCCAATGGTCATCCCACGCACCAGGAAAGCAGCAGTGTGGTCATCCAGAGCCTCCCTCAGGGGGCTGCAAAGAAATCCATTCAAGGGATAATAAATTACTGAGTAAATTACAAATAGCAAAACAAAGGACTCATTTAGTGCCCAGCAGTTTTACCACAAGGCTAAGTGACTCTGTCTGATGCAAAGTTAAGGAAATTATCACATTTTCGCACATGATGGCTCTTTGCAACCCATGCTTTACTGTAACATTAAATACCTGAAATGAAAATGAAACAAGTAGCAGACACAATGAGTTTGATAACCTCAGATGTGCCTTCACACAGCACTCTTCACCTGACATTATTTGCCACGTCACTTCTTCCAAGATGCACAAAGCTTCCTCATCATCACTGAAGAAATGCAGTCTCATTCATCAGCCAGTAACATTCAGGCTATTTCAGGTTAGTTCAGGCAATTTCCCTCAAAAATTACAATCTTTAACCTTTTACCAGGTAATTAAGACTCACAAAAATAAAATAAATAGAATCTCAGCCATTGTGTATTATCGTGCCTTTAACCTAATACCTCTATTAATTTTTTACCAATTCTTATTCACAGATTAATTTTAAAAATCCATTAACTTACACAAGTGAGACAAGCTGAGATGCTGCTCTGAGACTGAGATCCATGACAGAGAAGTATTTTGCTGGAAAAGGTTTCTTTGAATCATCCAGAACTCTGACATAAGCCTTAACTGTTTTTCCAATCTCCACCTGAAACAGACACATCCAGTCATTCTGCATTCAAATCACGCTTATTTATTAGCATAAATATTTTCAATTTATTTTGTATTACACTTGTAGTAGGGTAGTGGAGATAGAGCTCCAAGGTTAGTCTAGCACTGATTTTAAAGACTAATCCCTGCCAGCTAGAGTTAGTGTCAGATGAAATGAATGAACTCAGGTCCTTCAGCTGGCAAGGGCATAATTAAAACATCCAGAAATATCAACACTTCTTTTGTTTAAGGTGCACCCAAGCTGGCAAGAGCAATGAACTGGACTTTTTTCTGTTCAGTTTTAAAACCTGACATATGGAAAATGACCTTGGGGCAAAACCTACTCCTAAAAGAATTGTTCACATGCACTTTAAACAGGAGGAAATGTAAATGACCATGTCCATATAAATTATGGAATAATACTGCTGTGTAAATGTAAAAGTTGAGATTGCTGCCACACGTAACATGAACAGATACCTGATACTCTGAGACACTTATAACCTAAAGGGATAAATTTGGGAGAGAGAAACAGAGACACAGGGCGGTTGTAGTTGTTTCTCTGTTGTAGCACCTTGTCCACGTCAGATCTCTGTGTTCAGGACCAGCACAGGGAGTCAGGGCAGGCTGGATCAGCCCCTAATGCTGCTTCCAAGGCACTGACCTTGTCAACAACTCGCACGTACAATTCCTGGATATCAGATACATGAATTTCAGCTTCAGCTGGGGCAGGGAAAGCCAGACACAGGTCATGAATCATTACAGTCACTGATCCTGGGAGCAGAGGCTGCACCTGCAATGCCAAAAGAAAACTGCATTATAGCACTTCTTTTCTTTATTGTTCACAGGATAAATTTGTATCACTTTCAAGGCAGAAGCAGTTGGATGCAGAAATCTCCAAGCTCAGACACAGAGAATTCTTCCACCAAAATAAAAATCAAGCTCCAAAATGTATGTAAAAAGTATCACGCTACTGAGCTAGTGCAAAGCTAATTCACTTGCTAGCCCCCAGGCACCAAGTGAATTAACAGCTCTTCATCAGGAACAGTCTGGCATCCTTACTCTCCCACCATCAGGAGAAAAAACACACAAATCATCTAGAGCAACAAAACTTTTCTTAGTAGAGTGAAAACCAAAGTGATAAGGAAAAAAAAATCGAGGACAAAGATTATGCCTGTAAAGCATTGCTATTGCTTCCTGTAAGATTTGTACTCTACTGTCACTGCTTTTCATTTGAGTATCCAAAACCTGGTGGTAGATCCTGGCAAGTAAGAGGACAACTGGCAGATCAGGTGTTTCTTTAATAAAACTATTATTCCATTAGTTTTAAACAAAAGAGAATGTTACACTTCTTAACGGATAAAGAGAATAAAACAATGAAGAAAAAGACCTCTGATCACAAACACAAACCCTCAGAACTAAGAACACATCCCAAAGTCCCCTCTCCCAAGGCCATGCATCCACACCTTGCTCACATCAGCTCTGCAGTTCTCCTGCAACTCCCTGACCTTGTCACAGACCTCAGGACAATCCCTGTTCTGTTCTCCTCCCTTTGGCCAGGACAGCAGAGAAGTTTGGTGTCCTGTTGTGTGCTCTGAACTCTGAACAAGGGGAGATGGCCAGACTCCCCAGTGCAAAGGAGCTCAGTGAACTCTCAGCACTGCCCAGCAGCACTACAGGAGTCAGCAGCAGAGCAGTGAGGAAATCTGACATTTTGTTCTGTGAGGGCACTACTCCTGTTTCTGCCTCAAAATAGAAAGGGATGTGAAGTTTTAATAAAGGTCAGCTTCTAGAACAGCAGCAGTTCCCAGAGAGGGTGGCTAATACAGGGGCTGAGCAGCAGGGCAGGGGATGTGGCCAGGGGAGGGAGCTGGAATGGAGCTCAGATGGGCTGTGAGACCAGAGAAAGCAAACAGGGAAAAGGGCAAACAGGGCTACTGCAACTTTTAAAACACTTCCTGTCTCAGCCACCTCTGCTGTTCTCCTCTCCTATGAGGTGTCCAGTGGCTCCCAGTATCCAGGTATATTGCACTGGTGACCACTCTTCACTCCTCCCCTGCTACCACCCACCCATGCCCAGAGAAGCTGCTGTGTCAAAACCAGAGGGAGAGGCACAGAATTTCTCCTTGGCAGCCCCACTGAAAAGTCTGGGAATCACTGCCCCAGATCACTTGAATTTAGTTTCTCAGAAGAGTGTACTGCCAACTCATCCTCTATCAACTTGGCTGCACTGTACCTGCCATAGCAGCAGCCTGACAGAGCCTGCTGATTCCCCAAGCCATTCTGCTGCTTCCATGGAGAAAGAAACCCAGGGCTGGTATTGGGATTTAACCCAAGCACAGCACACAGGGCTAGCAACCTGCCAAATGTGTGTGGGGCTGCATTAAAAAAAAAAAGTGTTTAAAGTGGACTCTTCTCTCCTTTAATCTGACAGGCAGTTAAATCTCTTCCTACACTTCACAAAGCCTATCTTGCTGTCACTGCTCCACTCCTGAATTCCAGACGAGAGCACTGAACCAATCTCATGTACATCACTTAAACCCATCAGGGAGACCTGACTAAAAAACTATTAAGAGTTTGAACAGTGTACTATGTACAAAAAAACCCCTCATCTCTATTTTTTTCTCACTTCTGTGCCTAGTTGGAAAAAATATTCTCACCTCACACTTAGAACAGTTACAGACAACCAAAATGTTTCACAAATTCTATTGTTATTTGTATTTCCAGCTTAGTTATCATTATTTCACTAACTTTATACTTTTATACTTCTTAAAAGGCAAATCTGTAAATTATACATTTATAAAAACCACTCTTTAGAGCAACATGTTTCCTTTCAAGTTCCTGCCTTATGAAAGCAGCAATGCAAACACACAATTTTACTGGCGCTCACTGCAGAATGCATTTCATATCCTGGGCCTGATGAAGTCCAGCATACCTGCACTTTAGTGGCATCTTCTAGTGGAAAAGTGCATTAGAAACTTCATATGGAGATCAGAATAAATGACTGAATAGATATTAATTCACAAAATCAGAATGCAATACTGTGATTAAAAAATACCCTGAAACAGCACTATAGGATAGAAAAAATTTGAAGCCTTCAGAACTACTGGCCCACAGCAAATACTCCAGTATTGCTTTGGAAACCAATTAATCTTCTGCATAGCTTCTGAATAATTGTCATGTCATTCTTCATGGTGTGTTTGTGAAATCAGGAACATTTTACTGCAAAGTTGTAATGGGTGAAGTAGTTGGAACTGGCTTTTATCTTATACAGAGAACACAAGTGCATCACATCTGTATTGAAACAATTTCCTGTACCTGAGACTATGCCTGAAGGGGCCAGTGCAAAGATCTCCTGCCTGAAGCACAACTGTGACAAGCAAACGCATCCAAAATGCAGCTACTGCCTCTCTATCCACACCTGCTGCAAAATGCCCAGGAGTGCTGAAGCTGCAGAACCATAACCTAGCTGCCAAAAAGGTGTAAAACCACAAAATACTGCACTCACCAAAGCAATGCCTTCAGTCTCCTCATGTGTCACTCTTACAATATTTGGCACACTGGTATTAATGAAAAAATACCCAGAACCTTGTTGGATGAGAAGTTCTGCCTGCAAAACCAAAAAAGCATCCAGAATTAAGACTGTATCTTTCTAGCAAAGCTGTCTCCTCCCACACCTTCTGTAATGTGTGATGTTTTCCTCCCTGCAGGTGGAAAGCAGCAGAGAACTCCTCACCTGGACGTCAGGGTGGTTGTAGATGGAGAGCCCAGTGGGGCTCACCTTCACATCTTCCACGAGCATCAGTTCAATGGTGGCAGGCCCTGGGAGCACAGCTTCGTGCTGCAAGAACAATGTCAGCAGTTACAGCAAAGAGGCACAGCACTGCCAGAGTCCTGTGTGTGCAGGGAGGATGTTTAAAGCAGGCAGCCAAAGCTCAGGGCACAGGATGAGGATGATGCCCACAAGATCCAGAGGACTCTGACAGTCATCCTGCACAGGGAAGGGCATCCTCAGGGCTGGTCTGCTCTGCACCCCTGGCCAAGGCAGAGGACAAGGGCCCAGGACTGCAGGATCAGTGAAGGATGTCTGACAAGCACAGACAGGGTATTAACTCTGAGCTATGGCCTAAGTTCATACAGAATGATAAGGCAAACACAGAAAGTTTTCTAGCTCTAACTCATCTTTTCATGACTCTACTTAGCAGGCCACCAAGAGAAATTCTTCCTTAAATATAAGTATATGAACACTGGACAAAACGAAGGTTTAATCACTCACTCCTAACAACATTAGCTCAGAAAAGGAAAAAGGTTTCTAGAGGAAGTCACTACTCTGTACCCATTTCACCTCATTAGTAGAATTATTTCCTTGATGTAGAAAGGATGTGATCTTTCCCTAATGACATAATAAGGTGTTCCACTTAAATGTTGTTCCACATGGAACAACAGTCAAGACATCTTAATATCCCATCTACTAGAACTTTGTTTGTGTTTTTGGCTGCAAGAAAGGAGAATGGGCAGGTCTGAAAGCAGAACAGAGCAGCCCACTGCTGATGTACTTGAAAAATGCAAGCAGGTCACCTCATTTGAAAAAAACAACTTATGAGCCCACAAAGTGTAGAAGGACTAGCATCTACAGCTACCAGAGTCCCCCCAAATTTAAACACAGAGAACAGAACTTAAGAGAACTCCAGTGTTCTCTGCAAAGTTTAGAGCATTCACTTTATTTCTAAGAGTTAAGAAAGAATATGTAATATTGGTTTAACAAAGCAGAGCACAGTGAACTACAAAAGGACTGTACAACATATTCATATTACAGTTCAACTTTTAAGAGAGAAAAAAATAAACACAACCAAATATCTGAAGTAACTCCTGCAGCAGTAATTCTCACTAAGCTGTAGTCAAATTCTTCGGGGAAATGCATCTGCACCACACTTCCCAACAGGAGAAGAGTGGAAACCTCATGGAAAAGTCAAGAACCAAGTGGCAAAAAAGATCACTTCTCAAAGAATTCCCTAAGCAGATGCCACATCTGGGCCATGCTGAGAAGAACCTCGCCCACAGGGTATTTCACATTACTGGTGCCCATCTACTACCTGCTTTGAGTTAAATCCTGTGACCTCTCATTGCATATTTTTCTTTCTGCCTCAAGTTGTCTTCAAGGTACTGCATATAGTTCAAACCCACTTAAATCTTGTTTAACAAGATTAAATAGAAATTCCAGTTAGGAAGCAGAATATTTTAAGACCAGGTTATTGCACATGTCAGGTTATTCCACAGGCTGAAAACTGCCCTTACATTCAGCTTACAATAGTGACATAAATAGAAAACTGCCATCTGTTTACATGTGCCCTCTTTGATGATCATCACTACCTTTTGCTGTTTTTCTGCCCTAGGTTGAGTATCTACACACTAGGTATTTCAGGGAGTGGCTAATGACTTGGAAAATGAGAACCTGGGCTTATGGCAGGCATTGTATAACGGAGGAGTCTCTCAGGAAAAAAAAAGACAGCATTAGTCAGAGCCCAGATGAACATATGGTCCATATGAGGAATCAGTCAGCTTTTGCTTTGCTCATGCAGAACTTTCCCACCCAGCTTTGCAGGGGCAATAACCCATTTGCTTTCCCCAGTGACAGCTGCACAAAGCACATGGCTGCTTTAGTGAAGGACAAGCAGCAGAGATTCACCAATTCATTAAAAAACCCTAAACTGAAACAAAACCAACCGAAACCCTTTTCTGTAATGCCCTTGCTCAGATGGTTAAAAAACTCCCAAGGACTTAGACAGATTTGATGTGGATAGCAGCACCTAGTGCAGAGGAAAGCAGGAAAGCCATGAACCAGTATCAGACCTCTGCAGAACGAACCAGACTCCACCAGGGAGCTGCCTCGTTTGTACAGTGCTGTGTGTGGAGGAAATAAAGCCACCAGAACACTGGGCATTAACCACAGGGAAATGGCAAACCCCCCCCGCCCCCGGGTGCTGTTACCGGTATTTTGGCTCTGGCTGCCTTCAGGTGGGGCTGCTGGAATCCAGTGGCAGTGGCAGAGATGGCAGCAGTTCCAAACTCACGGTCAACTACCACAGTTTGTAAGCCTAGAATGCAACAAAGATGAAAAGTACACTCAGTTCCTCTAGGATCATTCTCATCAGACAAGAACTTTCTCTCTCAAAACAGGTTCTAGGCACTGGACTTGGTTCCTTTTTTTCTCCTCTCTTTAATACCACACACTAAAAAAATGCACATTGATGTTAAACTGAAGTATGACTGCAGATTACAGTAATTTCTTTAATCAAGATGAGACATTGCCAAACAGATTTAATCCTGACCTTCAAACAATGAAATGCTCATTTCAACCCGCTCATACCGTGCATTTTCTTCTGACCATTGTCCTCTTCCTTCAGAGTGAGCTCCATTGGCAGCTCCAGCTCAATACGAGCAATGGCCTTATTTGTGGATTCCCACACAACACTAAGAGAGCTGAAGTTATCAAATTTCCTGCCTTGCTGGTCATAGGCAGCCAAATCCAGTATTGGATTGCGGTAATTGGAAACAGGGACCTGAAAAAGAAGGAATATTTTGAACTGAACAGATACAACAGGATTTTTTAATCATTAAAGGAAACATATGCTGAGTTCCATGAGGTTTGTTACAACATCAATACATGAGGAATGTTCACTAAAAGGAGCCATCAGTGCAAGGCATTAAGCTGTGCTCCAACAGCCCTGAGATTATCTCAGTTGGTCTGAGCATGGTGCTGCTTACACCAGGTGGGTTCAAGTCCTTTTTGGGCCATTTAAAGTTGGACTCCATGACCCCTGTGGGTCCCTTCCAACTTAGAGCATTCTGTGAATCTCTGAACTCTAAGGAGGTTTTACTGGACCATGGGTTTGGGTATTTTTAAGCCAGTGAATTACCTTAAAACAAACAAATAAACAAAAACCCCCAAACCAACAACAACAAAATTGAACCACAGCTCAATGAAATTGTTTTTAGAATTCAAAGAAATTATGACAAACACTGCTGTTTGTTGAAGCTCAAAATTCTGGTGTTGCTTTGGTGAAATGCATTAGCAACAGCAGTGCGCCAAGGTAGGCTGACACATAATGGAGCCAGAAAAGCAGGTGAGCTCTGAGGCGGCTAATAATACACAAAAGTCTCCTTCTCCTCTTGCTATTACATAGAAGCTCTTTAAAATGATTCATTTTAGGGAAGGAGGATGACTTTTACATTTGCCTGGGAATATTAACACGACAAAACGTGGTTTACTCAGCAGCCAACATATGACACACCCATCAGGAATAAAAAGAGAAAGTTCTTTGTGCCTGATAATCTACACATCTACAATCTACATTTACTGCAGGACCCCCCAGCCTGCTCTGTGCAGGAGCTCCCAAGGGCACCAGTGTGGCCACAGCTCCAGTTAGTGGTCCTCCTGCAGCAGCTCAGATGCTTTATTTCACACATGGAGCTCCAAACACTGATATTTCAGAGGTAACAACACCTTGTTCTCCTGACACTTCCCAGGCTTACCACTTGCTTGCTCTGCTGGAGCAAAGGGCAGGAGAGATCCAGCTGAGGGCTGCCATAAACAGGAATCAAAGTCAGCCGGAAAGGGACAGCACAGACAAACTTCACCACAGCAGGCTCAACCACTGGGAAAGGGTTGGTGACTGTGGGGCTGTTCCCAACTGTTAAGGTAATAACCTGAAAACAGCAAATGAGGAAAGAGCTGAGCTCAGGCATGCTGTATTTCCACAGGTCTCAGTTACACTGTGATATCAGAATGAAAAGCAAAAATATAATTCTTGGGGATTTACAGCACTATTAAGACACAGGAAGATGTAAAAGAGGGAGCATGTTTCAAGAACAGGTCTTTATCTCTATGAAAGTACTGTTCCTGGGAACTCTTCCTCGGTGTTCATGTTCATTACTATCAAATTTGATTCAAACAACAAATCTCTTGTAACTGAAAAAGGAAACAGCAGGTGCACTTGCAGAGTGAGAAAAGAACAGCCCAAAGGCAACATTTATAGTCACTTCAGTGTGTTTAAAAACATCTCATCTTTTATTTTATACTCCTTTTTTAGCCTTCAGCAAAGTGAAGTTTTGGATACAAAACCAGAGAAGGCTGAAGCAGCTCTGCCCCATCCCCCAGTGCACTGGTGCTGGGCAGAGCCATGCACCTGTGAGGTGCTGGGACAGCCAGCCTTGCACAGACCTGCACATCAACACACTCCTTTTGAAGTTGCAGATTCAAAACATACAGAAACAGCTCCACTTTGCAATGTGTCCACTGAGGAAATCAGTGGAACTTGGCAGCCCAACCAAAATGCTTAGGCCTTGCAGAATTGCAGGAAGAAAACATTACATCGAAGCTAAAAGCTTCATGGGCTGAGGAGGGCGAGTAAAGCAGGAGAAATCACTTCTGTATGTTGGTGACCACGAAATCAGGTGGAGAATGAGCACAGCCATGCTCACCAAGTCTGCAGAGTCAATTCCTGTGGCTGCCATTTGTTAGGATAAAGAAAATTACACTGGAAAGTAACATAGTTAAGAGGAGCAGGTCAGACAGAGGAGTCAGCTAGCTCAGTAACTTCTGCTCTGATCCTGTTCATGCAAACTGAACCTGCACTCATCAGGATGTTCAATACATCCCACCACATAAGGCTTCCACAACTTGGAACTTATACTGCAATAAACCCATCATAAACCACTTTTTAACATAGTGTTGTGAAATGCTCACTCTAAAAATCTGCATCATAATGCATAAACAATGTACTTACCCAAGTTCTTTACTGGCTCATTATAAAAACATCTAGCTACATAACAGGCATATGGCACCATAAATCTGTCTGGAGCCAGTTCTCAGTGCCTGATGGAGGACAACAGCGAGCCCTCCTGGCACTCACCTGCTCTCCCAGGCTCCTGCACAGCACCCTAACCCAGTGCTGGTTGTTGTTTCGAGGTGTGGGAGGTTCAAGTAAAAACAGGGCAATGCTTTCTGCATCCTCAGCAGCAACATTCCTGAAGAACTTGGAAGGTTCTTGGACCCACGGCCTTGGTCCTCCTTCAAACAACACATCCTTAGAGGAACCCAAAGTCACTAAAGCGACAGACGGTGGATCAATAGCCTGTAATCAATTAATTAATCAAAAATTACTCATCTATTTACACCATTTGGTTGTGCTCTGCAAAATAAACTTCCTTGTGAATGGAACAGCTACACTTGGATAAGGCTGTGGTTTCTCCCATGCAGTGCTTTGTCAGCACACTTAGTGAAAAACAGAGCTGCACCAAAATCCACAAGGATTCTGTCCAGCTGGATTAGATTCAAAGGAAGCCACAGATCCAAAGACAAGTTTTAGCTGCATTCTAATCACATCTCTCTCATGAAGAATTACAGCAAAAGGGAGACCCTTAATATATTCTTCTGAGCACAGAGAGATAGTATTCTGCTACACTTTTAAAGAAGTATTTAAAGTTAATGAAATTATGTCAAATTGTACTTTCATTTGACAGTGCTCTCTCCAGAACAGTTCTGTGTATGTAGTTATTCTCCTACACAAGTTTTACTTCAAACCTATCTAACAAATTCTACACTGATGTGCATTCCTGGACAACCTGTGCTGTTCACCACCACAGCAATTAACCTAACATTTAGTACACAAAAACCATTTCCAGTTCGTGTTTCACAACATCACATTACATCATTATAACCACAAATCTGTAGGATTTACACTAACATTTTTTCCATATTGAGGGAAAGCTATGGTGAAATACTCAGACTTCAGCCTGCAGTCAGGGCTAGGCCTCTGCAGATGAGGTAACAAAGCAACCTCTTTTTTATTTCCATCTATTGACCCCAGACTCACCTTCTTTCTTATTTTCTTCACTGAACCAGCCAGTGCTGGAACGTAAACCCACCCACCTCGGTTTTTCAAACCTATTCCTTACACAACCAGTTCCCTGTCATGTCAAGGTGTCCCAGTGCTGGATCCTGGATCTCTCCAGGAGCAGAGGAAGCAGACTCACTCTCAGAGGGAGGTAAGCGGCGATGGTGATGCTGGCACTGAGGCGCACGTGCCCGTGGGCGTACACAACCACCAGCCTGGCGTACCCCTGAAATTCAGCCTTCACTCTCAGTCCACTGCAAAAATCAGCACTTGGCTTAAGTCTTCCTGTCAGATAAATTAAAAAATTTTTATTTAGAAATTATTTAGAAAGAAATGCCCAGGCATGTTCATCAAATTCAACACGGCTGTTTGAAGGGAGCCTACCAGAAAGATGGAGAGAACTTTTTACAGGGACATGTAGGGACAGGACAAGGGAGAAAGGCATCAAACTGAAAGAGAGAAGGTTTAGATGGGATACTGGGAAAGAATTCTTGGCTGAGAGGGCAGTAGGGCTCTGGCACAGGGTGCCCAGGGAAGCTGTGGCTGCCTCTGGATCGCTGGAAGTGCCCCAGGCCAGGCTGGACAGGGCTTGGAGCAGCCTGGGACAGGTGAAAGGTGTGCTTCCCCATTGCAGGGGTGGGACTGGATGAGCTTTTAAGGTCTCTTCAACTCAAACCATTCTGCATAAAAAAGCAAATATATCCTCAAAATAAAACTACTTGGACCCCCCTCCCTTCTGAGGTTTGGCACTTTGGGGATACTGTACAGAGCTATGAATCAGTGATTTAAGGGAGAAGTGTGACGTGGTGACTTGGGAAAGGTGTGACCTGTCACCAACTTAACTTCCAACCCAGGCAGGGAGTTTAAGCACCTTCAAGCAGGCTGAACACGCCGGGGTTCTCCAGCTCCACGGCCAGCTCCAGCTGTGAGCAGTTGCTCAAGGGGACCAGCTCGCCCCTGTCCCCACTGGTCCTGCCACTGATCCTCAGGGGCAGCTCCAGCACCTGCCCCACGTGTGCCTCCACCTGGCAGGCAGTGAACTCCATGGCGCTGGGCTCGCTCACGTACACCTGCCCCAGGGAAGGAACAGGAACAGGGTGGGTCAGTGCTCTGCTCCCACACCAGCCCAAGCCCACAGCAGCTTGTGAGCCTCCCATTTACTGCTGCTCCTGTATCTCTCTCTTCTGCTTTACACACTTTGAAGCGTAGACTAAGTTGTGTGCTATCTCCAGGAGGTACCATCACCAGCTGGGAGAGGTTTAGCATTCATTAAAGAATCCACCTCAGACCACAGATTTCATAGCAATCACTGTGATTGCTATTGTGAAAGCTTTTATTTGCAGTATCTTTTAACTACTCAATCTTCTGCAACTGGCTTCAGGATACCAAACCATATGGGACAGAGATAAAGCTGTAATCTGTGTGGATTAACTACTCCTAAAACTACTACTACTAACAACTTGTTCACTGAGGTCAGTAAATATAACTCTGAAGAGCTGTTCCACAAAGAAAGCAGCTCCTAACACAGGAACAAAGGCATTAAAAATAACCTATTCAGATTGTGCAATACACTGCTCTGAAAGCTCACATGGGCAGGTTTCTCTCTGTCTTCAGGCTTTGACTTATGTTTGAGGATAAGAAGTTTTAGCTGAAAAAAATCTTCACTCCTGTGTCACCAGCTGGTAATTGCTGCACTGCTAAAAAGCAGCATCCTGGGTTGTTCAGAGAATTATTTCAGAGCGAGTGTGTAAGGTTAATTCTGAGCAAATTTTAATTAATGTCACACCCCTCTCTTTGCGGCCACCAGATGTACTGCTCCTGCATTCTCCTCACTCCACAACACACAGTGACCACCATGACCTAAGAACAGGTCTGCAGAGACACCACAAAATTCCCCTTGGGAGCTATGTTTTTCATTGCCATTTTCTCCTAATTTTCATAAAACACTGTTTTTTCTTGGCCAGCTCAGGTTCTGGAGTCAGTCTGCAGCACTGTGCTCACTTCAGTCACTTCTCCACACAAAAATTTCCTTGCACATCCTGATAACAACTGTCACCCTTTGGTATCAAGGGAGAACATCTACCTATCACCCTACAGAATGAATTTTTAGTTTGGCTTGTCTGCTTAGATGGGCAGGCCTGGAGTCCATAACCATTTCCTTCTTGCACTTAAAACTTCCATCAGGGAAAAAGACTTACCTAAATCAGGAAGGGGCAAAAATGGGAGTAAAGTTAATGCACTGGACAGTGTTTGGTGCCCTGAAGCACAAACTGAAACTAAACCCTTAACCTGCTGCAGGGGAGGAAGTGGAAGGGGAATGCCTATGGCATTCTCAGTGCCTTTGCTGCTCCCAAAACCCATATTCAAGAACAGTCACTGAACAATGAATCCCTTACCTTCATTTCTCCATAATGCAGGGGGTTCCGCACGTCAAGTGCCTGAATAATGCTGACCCCAGCATCGCTCCCCGTGGTCATCACCCCTTTGACTGTCACTGTGGCTACTGCCTGGCTAGAGGAGGACCAGCTGAAGTTGCCACTTCCACCCTGAGCCTGAAACACAGAGAGAAAAATCTTTCAAACATTTAATCAAGTACACGGTTCTCACATTCCACAGCTTCGGATATCTTGCATGAAAACCAAGAATGGCCTGAGAATGGGACATACAAATAAAATAACACCTCAGAACTTCATAAGCAAGAGAGAGATGAGAAGATTTCTACCCTTCATTCATTTTAATTTCAGCTTCTTTCATACACCAAAATAAATATCAAAAGTTCCATCAGAGTAAAACACAGGTGATCTCTGGACTTATTTTTTAATGCATATTGTTTCTTTAACTTCCTAAACATTTCCTTTAACCTATTTCATAATCAAAAATGAACAAGGTGATAAATCTTGTCTAGAGGGACAGTGTGAAAAACAAACAAATCTAAATTATGCAGGAGCTTAGCTAGTAATTTTTACCAGGAAAAGAGAATAAAAAGAAGATGAAGAGGAGGGTAATTTCCCTTCTTCCTTCCTCTGAGCACATGCACAACCTGATTACAGAAGGACACAGACAAATTAATAAACAGGTAGTGATGTGTTACAGGAGATGCATGGGATGTGGTGAGAAAGGCTAAAAGAATCCAAGAGCTCAGCACATTTGTAAAGGTACTTTAAATGAAACAGGGAGATGAGCAGAAAACATAAAACAGAAATACCCACTTCTCAATAACTGTATGAAGTCTCAGGTCCCTGCCATAAACCCCAGATACCTCACTACATTTTCTCTCTCTGGCAGTCAGTCTGCACTGAGGAGGGGAAGGGTAAAGCAACTTCCCCTGCAGTCTCATCATTACCCAGAGCCTGGCAGGGAGCTCCACACTGCTACCTGTGAGCAATGCCCTCCCCAGGAACCTCCACATGCTGAGCCTCACACAGCTGGCACTGCACCTCTCGTGCGTGAATGGAAGGAAGGCAACACAAACCATCTCATTAGCACAAATATGAACAAAGCAACCCCCAACAAACCAGACAGCTGCCAAAGGAAAACCTGCCAGGCCTTCTGATACCATCTGGAGGGAGTTACTTCAGCTATAAACACAATTTGTCTAGATCCAAAAATCCCTTTCGATTTATTTTCAGAAAAACTTCATCCACCCATTTGAAATAGCCTGACTGAAGCTATGGAGGGGAAGCCAAACTCTAAGGGAGAGGCAGGAACAGTTGAGCTGTGTGTATGCTGTTGACCACTGGTACTGTGGGATGTAGAGACCAGAAGAAATGTTTCAGCAAAATATTAATCTTGGGAGAAAAATGTTTCTATGTTTTTATAGAAAAAGATCAGAGTAAGAACAGCAACACAACTATTGCAGCACCATGAAGGAATGCTCTCTAGTGAAATACTTCATTATATATGCAAGATAAGGTGAGAATAGAACTGTGAGAGAGGTAGGAAACAAAACTACATTTCCTCTCCCTTACTGGTAAAACTCCAGCAGAATTATGAAGTACTGAAAATGCAGATTTAATACTAAGAAATTTTACCACACTCTGCTGGTGTGGTCAGGAATAGCATGAAGTAAACCAAACAATCCCACAGAACAGACAACCAGAGATGCAGGGCTTAATTCAATGAAGCTGCTCTTAGATTTCCACTGAGAATGCAGTTTAATCCTGTGAGATTGATTCTTTCCAGGCAGTCACTGAATCAGTAAGGCTGGAAAAGACCTCTGAGATTATCAAGTCCACCACTGAACCACATCCTCAGGTGCCACACTCCATGATTTTTGAGCCCTTCCAGGGATGGTGACTCCACCACTGCCCTGGGCAGCCTGTGCCAGTGTTTGACAACTCTTCCTGTGAAAAAATTTTGTCTAAACATCTAAACACGAGGATGTTTCCTCTCATCTTGTCCCTTGTTAACCTGGGAGAAGACCCTGGCACCAAGTGTCCTGCTGCCTGTTTGGATATGGTTTACTTAACACAGATCCAAAACTGAACACCACTTATGCTAAAAGAGAGAGGCAGGAGTTGTGCATCCAACACCTGAGTGCAGGATCTGGGTATCACTGGCCTGGGATAAGAGTCTGGGCTGAGAAAGCACAACTTCCTTTTCCCTACTTAGATTGGAGATACTGGATATTGGAACAAAAACCATTTGCTTCGTGAAGCGTAAGGAATAACTGACACCTTGGGAGCAGACACACCTAGTAAACATGGAAATCATCCCTTCTGTAAACGAGCTGTGGCCTTTGCCTCCCTGGAACTTTGTATTAGGAGCACGAGGTGTATGGCCAGTGAGGAATACTGATGTCCAAAGCTGGCAGAGTGCTGCTAATTAATCCTGCCCTGCCCTTTTTGCAGTCACTTCACACACTCATTCATATTTCCCATCCTTGCCAGCAAAGGGCAGCCTCTAATGTTTGCTGTGGATCTTTGGATATAAGATGCTCCTGGAATTCCAAACCATTCCAGGCATAGGTGTGTGGTGCATGCATGAAAGGGAGACAGGAAGGGAAGACCAGAGGTGGAAGGCAGACGAGTTTTTGTTTGTTGGTTTCTTGGTGCTTTTTTTGAACTGTATATTAATTCCTGTAATTAATGTCCCATGAAGTTCCTCCAAGTTACATTTTGGATGTCACCATGCCTGAAGCATCCAAAGTGAACCCTAGCTCAAAGGCATCAGGCCCCAGTGTGCCTGCCTGAGCTACACTCCCTGCACCTGGGTACTTCTTTGGCATACCTGGATGGTGTACTGGTAGACTCCTGCTTTTGGCTGCCAAGGAAACATCAGAATGCTGGGTACAAGAAGTATTGGAACATAGATCTCCAAATCCTGCTGGTTTTGCACTGGAACTGGTAAGGTATGAACACCTCCATCCTGCAAAGTGCAAAAGCACAGTGTTATAAATGGCGACACAGAGCTTCCCAGAGTTAATGTTTAGTCCTTAGGTACAGACAAGTCCTTGAAAACACCTCAGAGAGGAAGGAAAACTCTTTAGGACCACCTATGAACAGAGCTCCTAGTGAGCAAACAGCTCCTGGCAGCAAGGTATTAAATGAGCACTGTATTAAATGAGTGCTATTGCTATGAAGATCCAGGTGGCCACAATAATTTAAAAGCAAGAAGAAATACCCTCTTTCACTGGTCCTATATTGAGACCTCATTTGGAGAACCAATCTGGAGGCTTGACACCTATATTTACTCTTTGCTCATCCCACTGCGTACAAAATTCAGCCTGAAAGAGCCACTGCTCAGCCCCCCAAACACTGGCCTTCACAGCTCTGCTATCACTGCAGTGCCACAACCCTCTGGCACAACACACTGTTACTGCAGTTCTGAGGGAAAAACAGCTCTCAGGGGATGCCTTTCCACTGAAGAGAACATCTCTGACACAGAAAATGACCGTGGCTTATCACACTGAAGGAGCTACTAAATCCTGCTCAAGGAATCACTAAAATGATTTCACAGCAAATGGGCTGAAGTGTTGAATTTTCAAGCAAAAGCAACTAACTCACTTCCACACCACGTGCCCTAGTTAGCCATACATTCAGCAGCCTGCCCAACCAGCAGAAAGTTAATAAATATTAATTTGGAGAAATGTGCAGGCTAATACATTTGGCAGATTGTCATTCCAGAGTTTAAGATCACTTACCAATTGATAGCAAACTTCCCCAATGTAACTGACTGCAGAACAAGGCCAGGGTATGAGTGAGGATCCTACCACAATAAAGTGTAAAATTCCCTCAGCCTGTGAGAGGCCCCTTGCCCAGCACAAGGATCTGCCACGAGAAAAGAAATCAGTGCTGTGCACCACTGCCTTAACAGGAGTTTGCCACATGCTCAGGAGGAAAATCCCACAGTCTTTAATTTAAGCAAATCCTCTGTTGACTCAATTGACAGTTTCCATGAAGAAAGGATTTTAGAATTTGGCTCTTAATCTGTTCAAAGAAAGACAGCTCAGACCCGTGTAATTCTCAGGTTTCCTTTTGCTAGGAAGTTACTACTGCACAGCTCAAATATTTTTAGGCCTCCCAGTGAAGCAGAGGAGTTTTCACAAAGACACACCTGATCAACTACTGATGTCAGCGCAGCATCAATCGTGGTCTGACCTGCCTTCACAGCCATCACATAATGGTAGGACCCATTCAGAGAGGACTGCAGCACCTCAAAGTGTTCTTTGGACAGCTCTGTAGTAATTCGGATACTCTAAAATCAAAACATGAAACAGAAATTGCCACAGGTAACTGACATCAATGGAGGACAGAAAACCCTGAACATACAAGTCAGTGAGCAAACCACTGCTTAATAACACAGTTCAAAGACACGCTGCTAAAACTGATCAGAACTCTCCCTATGGAAGTTTCAGGCTTTCAGTAAGATTTTACCTTTAGATGTAACATTAACTCCACAGAAAGTTTTTTTTAAAACTATCAGCAACATGTAATTTAACATTAAAGTACTCATATTAATACCACTAAATAATTAATATTTTACAGTATTTTTCTAATTTTTTCCTTCTTCACACGAAAGAACACATTAATATATTGCCTCAACAGCACACTGCTGAGCTCTAGCTGAAACTCAGATTTGTATCCCAAAAAGCAATTATGTGCAAATAAAATAATACTCCCCTGGCTCCAATACTCTGAAAAGCAGTAATTTAATAACATTTTTCTTGTTGCAACTGAACTATTTAAATTCAGTTTCTTCTGAATTTAAGAACTATATATATTTGGTACCTAGTATATAGAATTTAGGAAGAGCCTCTTCCCTGTGAGGTTGGGCAGGCTGTGGCACAGGGTGCCCACAGCAGTTGTGGCTGCCCCTGGATCCCTGGCAGTGCCCAAGGCCAGGCTAGACAGGGCTTGGAGCAGCCTGGGACAGTGGAAGGTGTCCCTGCCCATGGCAGGGGTGGCGCTGGATGATTTAAGGTTGCTCCAAGCTCCACGCAACCTGACATACATTGTCTAACTTCCATTTTTTTCCTACAGCACTTAAGACTCCAATAACATCACATGAATCACCCAGAGTGCCTTATTTTTAAAAAGTAACAACAACAAAACAAATGGAAAGAATGAAAAGGCAAGAAACTACAAGCTTTGCACTGTCCTGTCTCAATGTAAATAAGAAACCACTCAAATAATTCCAAAGCAAGTCAGGATTTAGGAGACAGTCACTGAAAAGTATCTAAACATTTCAACTTACATCAGATAAATACACCTTATTGCTTGATTTATCATACACGTCAACTGTAATTTCATAAAGCCTGCCCGTTTCCAGGACCCATCTGTCACCTGGATGAACTGTAAATCCTGCAAAACAGGAAATATTGAACAGCACAAACCAACAGCCTCTTTATCTAATGGAGAAAAGCATTTTGCGTCTGGTGCCCACACTCTGCAGATGAACATTCATTATTTTAAACTGCTGACTACAGAGATAAAAGAAAGTACATAAAACCTATTTCCCATTGAGCTACTTTTATGAATAAAATTACTTTTCTGTGAAAACTAACACTCAACGGGAAGTGTGGAGATACAGCGTGAAAATCAGAAACAAGGCCAGAAATTGCATTAAGCAATCAGGAAGACTGCAGCAATACCAACCCAAATATGCAGGAGGTACCACATAGACAGTGCTGTTGGGCAGCCTGGACACCCCCTGCATGCGGATACCTGAGGGCTCAGTCAAGGAACACACAGCTTCTGCACAATCAAGATCAGCATTCTCCTGGGACTCCTCATGCCTCCTTGGCTATTTTAAAGCTAAGTGTACACTGCAAATAAACATTATCCCCACTTCACTGCAAGACAGTGAGCACTTTGGAGAGATCTCACTAGAGAATATAATGATTGAAATATAAAAATTAAATAAAGCCCCATACATTTCTAAAGTGACAGAGGGGAACAGACAGGATTTAAGGGATCTTTTGCCAACCTAATTTGTTAAAACATTCCAAGGCATCAAACAGCTCTGCTGAGACTGAATTCACAGCAGTACTGCTTTCCATGGCTCTTGATTTCCAGAGTCTCAGTACAAATGAGGATAACTTGATTCTTCTGTGTTGGCAAGGGTGGAAAGCTTTTCTCCTACCACAAAGTGGTGGCTGGAGAGGCATTCCTGAGGAAGGATACTCTTGTGCACCAGGATGAGGTTGGTTTGGCCCTGCTGCAATGCAGTCACAGTGGATGTTGCCTGGTCCAGCTTGGCAACTGACCGGGAGGGATCTCCCTTGGGATGGAGGATGTTGTTCTGGAGCTGCAGCTCATACTGCTCTGATGGCATTGCTATTTCTGGAGGTGAAACAAAACACAGGAAACAATAAAAGCAGGTGTGGCAATGTTTAGCTGTTGTTAATTATTGGTGATTATTTTTTATTGATGCTTAGTGCACATATTAAATCAATATTTTTAGTGTCTTGTAAAAATAGTGCTTCTGTCATCACATCAACACACACACACAAAAAAGAGCTTCTTGGCAAATTTGATGTCTGTGAAACTGCAATTCCCAACTAATATCATCTCAGTATTTAGACCTAACATTCAACTGATTTCCAGCTTCAAAGGAAAAAAAAAAGACAAAAGGGAAAAAAAGGAAAAAAGGAGAGAGGAGAGAAAACTCAAGGCACTGCATTTTGAAATGGGCATAAAGCCAGCTCACTCACATTTATTCAGGCTTTACTTTGTGAAGCAAATCCATTTGCCAATAAAACATTTTCTGTTAGAAAAGTTACTAATATAAATTTGATTTAAGTAAGAAAGTCAGTTCCTTAGTGACTGTCAACTCTAAAATGACAGTGTTAGCTCCTATTTTAAGTTACCCTTGTCTCTACATCCTTGACAAATCTGCAAGAGTATATTCTTAACATTCACTAGTTTTTTTTTACTGAAAGAACTACACAGCTGTATCATTGTGTGCCTTAGGAAAACAGTATTAAACATTAACAAAGCAGTTTAAACACAATTAAAATTTCTCAGCAGTTAAAAATTCACACAAAGCATTAAAAAATAAAACTGAATGAGAACAGAACAAACCTGTGATCTTCCCTTGCCTCAGTTTCTGAACTCTGTACTGAATTGATGTTCCTACCAGAAGATAAATGTCATATGCTGGATTTAAAAGGATGTTTTCCAAAATAAGCAATCTAACTTCTGCAGGGTGTACATCCTGTTGACAGAGGGGAAAAGAAAAGTAACCACATTAAAAGCAGCTCATTTGTTTGAAACAGACCATGCAGCAGGAACTTAGAATCTGGAAGTGAAAACCATTGCTGCAATTGGCTCTTTAGTTTCATCCCAACTGTTGTCACAACAGGGCAATGCAAGGGACAGTGAATGGTACAGAGATCTGCTCTGTGCACACAGTGCAAGAATGAAGAAAAAAATCACGTCGGTATGAAGATCAGTTTGGAGAATACAGAAAACCTTGAGACAGATGCTCATTCAGAAATTTAGAAATCCATCTTCTCCCCAACAAGCTGAAATCTTACCTTATAGATGCTTTCCTGAAGTCTTGCCTTTAATTTAGAACTCCCTGTCTTCATTCCAGACACCAAAATGGTATCTCCTTGCTTGGCAACTTTTTCCATTTCCAATATATAGGAAGGTGGGATGTAAGTGGATTCTAAGAACTTGAGTATACTGAAAAGTGAATCACAAAGTGAATAGAAAATTGTTAATCAACCTTTTTAAACCCACAGAGAAACACCACCAGCATCTACTCCCAGCCACTTCCATTTCTAAGCCAATTTAAGATGTTTGCTTGGGACCAGATATCCAAATTTTACTCATTCTTTGAGATATCTGCAGCTAATTTCTGTGACAGATAAGTTTGTCTGAAGCTTGCTTGTGAGCTATCAGAGGACTGCACATGTTGTCTATAATGACCCCTCCAGTTTGTTCAGTAGGTGAGACTGCAAAAACTCTCCATGTTGTAGAAGAACTGATGTGCAAGACCCAAAGCTTATGTTTATAAAAGCACCAGCTCAACAAACCCAGAACGTAACTCTGACCTCCCTCAAGAAGCCAGGATGTATTTAATAAATTACTACGAAAATCATCTACAAAGAGAGACCTTGTAGTAACTGTTAGAAATTTCAGTGAAAAGTGGCAGAAGAGAGGGAAGGAATTCGCCATGAATGGGTAAGTGACAGGAAATTTTGGAAAGCGGAGCATGTTTTTCAGGGTGTCACCTTCTGTATGCACATGACCTGTTTGGCTTCATGTGCACTTTCAGAGAAAAACCAGTAGAACCATATGGAGAACAGTTACGGATATTAACACTTTCATGACAATTTATGATTTATTTCACAAAACTGCACCACCTTTAGAACATTTTTAAGCATAATCATAGTTATGCTAACAATAGAGCATATATCAATACTAGTTTGGTTAAAACCACATCAGCAAGTACCTATACTGAAAGAAAAAGCTCAATATGTACCAGGACTTGGGATATCCAGTCCCATTAAGCCATTCATTCTGGCTCTCACTCAGAGAGAGCAGCTTCAGGTGTATTATGGGCTTAGCAGGCTTTCCCCAGCCAGTGCTGCTTCTCTAAGGCTGCAAAATCAGTTTGTGTTTGCCCAGGAGCGAAGTCTTGCTGGCTCCCCCCACTCCACCTGCACTGTATTTGGAGTGTCAGTATGAGGATGGAAGCTGGCTGTTAACCATTCTGCTCTGTAGAAGAACTGGTTTCCCCACAAGGAATCCCCCTATTTCAACACCAGAACTAGCTGTCCACTGACATCTGAAACTCTTAACGTTCGGAGAGCTCCTTTCTGAAATGGAAGGGGACTTTTTTTCCTTAAAAAGCTAAAAATAAAAGTCTGCTGAAATCCTGAGATAATAATCTTACTGATAAATCTTCTTTTTGCATGAGATGTTTCAGCAAGATCAACAATCACATCTGTTTATTTCTAATTATTGCATCAGAGCTCCCAGAGCTGCTCACTATCAGTTAAACTAAGCAAAGTGCCCAGGCTGTCGAGTAGGTTAAAAAAACCCAACCTGAAACAACTGACCCGTAACATTATAATTTTAGGCATCCGTTCAATAAACTGCCTAGGTGTGGGGAAGTATTTTTTACACATCAGACTGAACAAACCTTTGAGACCAAAGGAAATTACTTTACCGTAGAGCGTTGTGGGAGTCTGAGAAGCCATCGGCCTCTGGGTCCTTCACCACTGTCCAGTCAAACACCAACCCTGCCAGAGTGCTGAAAGTGTTTCCTACAAATCAAACAACTAGATTAAAACAAAAATGGAGACCAAGCACAGAGTCTTCCTGGAACATAAACCATTAGTTATTTCCCTGGGAAATTTCTCTATTTTCCCCCTACAAGAAGAACCATAAAGCACCCTCGAGTTTGCACAACACAAAGGCACGAATCAGTGGTAATCACACATCCTCTGAACAGAGAGAGACATAATTCTCTCCCAGGATTTTCCTGGGAAACTGTATGAAAGCTCAGAGAAAACAATTCTCATCTCCATTTGCTGCACCTGTTGTTGTGAACATGTGGAATGTGTTATGGAGTTTATTCACCAAAGAGAGATTTCTTAATTGGACTCTGGTGATGGTGTTTTGGATTCACTGACCAATTGGATCCATGCCCTGTCTGGCAAGGGTAATGGGTTTTTTTGCGTAGTATAGTATAGTATAGTAATAATAAAGCAATTGATCAGCCTTCTGCAATCATGGAGTCAATGCTCATTACTCCCTGTCAGGGGACTGCTGCTACTATATGAATCCAGCTGTATGAAAGCTCAGAGAAAACAATTCTCATCTCCATTTGCTGCACCTGTTGTTGTGAACATGTGGAATGTGTTATGGAGTTTATTCACCAAAGAGAGATTTCTTAATTGGACTCTGGTGATGGTGTTTTGGATTCACTGACCAATTGGATCCATGCCCTGTCTGGCAAGGGTAATGGGTTTTTTTGCGTAGTATAGTATAGTATAGTAATAATAAAGCAATTGATCAGCCTTCTGCAATCATGGAGTCAATGCTCATTACTCCCTGTCAGGGGACTGCTGCTACTATATGAATCCAGCACTATATATAGGATAAAAACAAATTTACTTTTCATTACTAATATATCACCATACTTCACCTGGCATTCATGGTTTACAAACACAGGTGGGATGGGCACAATAACCAAAACAATTAATTCCACCTTTTACAGCAGCTTGACACATTATTTCCCTTCAGTAGTTGTCCTAAAAGTCCCTTGCTTGGAGTGCTATGTGTGCACAAAACTTGACTGTTGAAAGCACAGAATTCTTACCAGATCATTGCTCTTTTTCTGATGCTACAGACTACAAAAAGCAGAAGTTTTCTGCTCCTGTTAAATAACAATGCATTCAGTCCAAATGCACTGACTCTTATGAGCCCAAATAGTGTGTCCCAAAAATGAGTGTTTGTGTAGTAATTAAACAGATTGAACAATAGGTGGTTGGTCTCAAACATCACCTCTGAACCTGCTGTCAGATACCTGACCGTTCACAAAAACATCCTTTTGCAAAATTCTTTAGACTACCTCAGCTCAAAAGAAAAAAAAAAAGAAAAAAGAACACTCAACTTCACAACGTATTATCCAGAGAAACACCTTAAAATTCTCCACTTGGCTTCAAACAATCAACAGTGTGACAAATCAAGCTAGTGCATGTATCACACAGCTAGAACTTTCAATATATATTTAATTTCCTAAAAACAGATCTCTTACCTTCTGAATCCAAAGCATGAATTTTGAGCTCCAGTGGTGAATCCTCAAGGTAGAGCTCTCTCGTTGTGGACACAACTTGAATGCCATGAATTAAATCAACGATGGCATCACAGCGAAGCACTTGTCCAGTCACTTGAAGAAACATCAGAAAGAGCACAAGAAAGTACAACACTGCATGTGCTCATCAAGAACAATGAGAAGTCAAGATGCACCTCAAATTTAGCCAGTGACACAAGACACTGATAGTGAAGGAAATGAAACTTGGTCATGACCTTGATGAAGAAACTCGTGGTCAAACGGTGGCTCAGAAAGCAAGAAAAACAGTTCCCTTCCTCACTGGACTGCAGAAACTCTGATTTCCATCTGCACTGACAGGTACAGGTGTTGTCTGGGAGTGCTTATGCTGAGTTGCTACAGTGCTCTCAAGTCCCACAGAAATTAATGGCTTTTATCCACAGACAATAAACGCCCATAAACTCCTTCAGTTAGTGACTGCATGGCATTTAATTGACCATCTGGTTTTGTCTCTCTGTCACTATAAAAACTAACCAGGTATATTGTATGACTGACACAAAAGCAACTGCCACCTTTTTCAAATGTGCAGCATCTGAATTTGCGCTAGTCATTTTTATTAAACACTTTTTTATATTTCACTCACCCCCTCTATTTGTAGATTTTGGGGGTTGGAGGTTTTAAGAATTACTTTTTTCCTCGGTGTATCATTACAATCATCAACACTTCTCTGAGGCAAACAGAAGCTACAAACCACACCCACAGAAAGTCTAAAATGACTGTGCATAGGAACTGAAATGTGCCTGTGCACCTCTAGGTCTCGGCTGTGTTGCCGGAGGCCGGCAGGATGCCCGCAGAGGCAGTGCTTTGCTCAGACTCACGTGTGTCCTCGGCAGAGATGATGGCGGTGAGGCGCGTGGGCTGCGAGGAGCGTGCCTGGACCAGCGCCCTCTGCGAGCAGCGGCAGCCGGCCGGCCCCAGCGGCTCGATGCTCGCCACCTCCGGCCGCGTGGACGACCTGCGGGTGCGGAGCTGTCAGCACGGGTGTCAATGAATAAAAAGTTATCTGTTTTTTTTAAGGTCGCAGAGTTAAAACAAATTGGACCAGTGCTGTTAAGTTAGCTTCATTGTTAAGAGTTCTTCTTCAATTACCTGTTAATGGCTGGTGATTAACCATTGTCCCCCTGAGGCTTGCCAGGGACCCTTGCAAGTACCAGGAGAATGGGAGTGGCATCAGAGCTAGTATGCAGATGAGAAATGCATTGCACTAATTTTTGCAGTTTTCCAGGAAAACCCCCAAAAATTACAAGCCAACATAGAACTGAGTGACCTAAGCGATGTCTAAGGATGGGAGCGTAGTCCAGTGCATGCTTGGATCCTTTTTGCTTTTCACCCTAACCTGAAAGGATGTTGACTAGAGAGAGGACCCGAGGTGTTGGACCGAAAAGGCGGAATCTCCTAATCTCTCATGAGGACGGAATCCCCAGCTCTGCCTGCAGACCAGCAGACACAGCTGCATCATCCTCCTCCTCCTCCGTGCCACTCCTGGGAGCACCGGCGGCGTGGGCGCGACCCGTCGATTGCTGATTCTTTTTAATAAAGGCATTAAAAAGGAGAAAGATCTCCTGCCCACTTATTTCAACAGGCATCACAGCTCTGCCTTCAAAGCTGCCCCAGCAATTCACCTGGGACGTGCTGTGTGGTCAGCAGCTGGCTTTGGGAAAAGCTGGATGGCAGCAGCTCCTCGAGGACCCCAGCCAAGGCAAGCGTGGGCTGAGGACAGGGAAAGCCTAGGCCAGAGGCAGGGCAGGCAAGCTCAGCATTATCTCCACTACAGAATCAAACAACCTTCCCCTAAACCCACGGAGCAAGCCAGGGCATTACTTAGTGGAGCCCAGCTCTCCCTTCCACTGCACCAAAACCGTCAAGATAAAACAACAACAAAAGTTGGAGAGTTATTAAAAACGAAGCCTCTTGAAAGTAAATCTGAGCCAGCAGCAATACACATCTGAGGGGTAACTGCAGTGAAAAGTTCCAGCAGCCAAAGCCCTCGGTAATGACTCCGGGCCTTCAGCCCCGTGCCCCAAGCCGGTCCCGGCTGCTGCTGCCCGGCAGCGCTCACGGAGCCGGGCAGGGAGGGAGGGAGGGAGGCAGCGCCGGAACCCAGCCCAAAACAGCCCCCGCTGTGTGCTCGGGATCCACTCACAAGGGCCCTTTGAAGGATTAAAACAATGAAAGCAAGCACTGATGGGTGACAAAGCTGCTCGGGAATTGCTTCTCCAGATGATGACAGCAACTGATGAAAACGCTGTGCTATCTGGTAAATGCAACCTAATCTGGGCATGTATCCCCCCTGGTAAAGATGGGGAAGGTGGATGGGTTTGGACCTTTTTTCTGGAAGATGTACAAAAATGCCTATCTGGGATATGTGGGGAAAATTCTGTAACCCAGCAAGGAGCAGGATGGGAGATCCAAACTAACAGCAATGTCATGTATGACTGAGTCCCCAGTCACAGGTTTCACCTCCTTCTCTTACTGGCACAACCAATAAATCCACACCAGCATAAAACTGAACTTCTCCTTAACTAAAATCGTATGTATTGAAAAACAACACTTCACACTGCACTCAATTATATGAGAGTTAACAGCTGCAGCCCAGGTGAGCATGGACTTCTGCTTGTAGCCACTGCAATAAAACTGCAAATCCTGTTTGGAACCTTAAGCTCCCAATAGTATTTTGCTTACATAAGGAGTAATTTTAGAGGATTTTTAAACAATACCAACTGCTGACCCAGAATTTCAAAGTACTTTATCTGATCAAGGAAAAAAACAGCCCACAGCAGTATGCAATGAGCAATTTAAACACCAATTAAAAGCTTAAACCTGAAAATTGTTTGTTTATATCTGGTCTATATACCTAAACAATGTACATAATAATGTGCATATTTTTTATAGTAGGGTTACACTGTTTCTAAAATAATAGTTTTCTGTATTAGCAGCATACAGCTTAAAAAAATTAAAATATGTTTTAGAGATTAAAATTGAGCAATTAGTTATTTTCCTGCTGTTCTGCTGTTCACAGGCAACCATGAAACAGTTTTCTAACACTGAGCAAGTTTCTTTAAACAATATTAGCATTCACAACAAGTAAGGCTTTCCTGTACTTGCCTGGTTGGCTTTTGAAGCTGAGCATGTGCATTTGACTTAGTCTGCATGCAGGTATTTTTAAATAAGTACTGTATGTAGGAAATTGACTTTTATTTAGCTCTTTACACTGCTTAATGCTCTCTGCCATTAGATATTTTGTTATTAATTTGAGGATTTTGCATTCTTGCAGTCTGGTATTGATTGTGTTTACAACACAACAGGGGTTTCACTGTGGTTTGTATTTGTTCTTTTAATATCTGGCTATGAATTGTAATACAAAACCACTGTGGTTTGCATAATAGCAGAGCTGTAAAACGGAATCTAAATACAGGATACTTTTCAGACTAGAAAAAGGGAGGAAGAAAGATCAACAAAAATTAAATTGTAACTGTAAACATACATACACTCCCCAATTTTAAAGGAACTTTCAAACTTTTACAGCTAAAAGCAGTACACTGCAGTAAAGAAACTGAGATTAGACACCATTTGGCTTCTAGCAGTAGTTTAAGAGGTAGAATATCAGCTGAATGTCTTTTTTTCTAATACAAATTTTACTCAAGTGGGCCTTTCTGAGGCTTGGTTTTGTATTGATTTATATTTAAAAACAATCTGCACGAGTAGTGTTTTTTCCAGCAGAACACAGGAAGTATCTGATGACCCCTCTATCATTCAGCAATATCAGAAGCACACTCTGTTTACAGCTACCTGGATGCAGGGCCAAGCACAGAGAGGCAAAGGCGTTAATCAGCCAGGCTGGGCATTACAGCAGCACTATGCTGGGATCACTATTGGGTCCTAGATCGGCAAGAAAAAGAAACTTCAGCTTTAAGTGAAAAAAACCCGCAATTTATATCCCCTGCCAACTACAGCAGCTCTTCAGCAGTGTGTCAGCGTGTGACATTGAGAGCTGGGCTTGTCAGAAGGCAAAATTAGATCCTGAGAAGACAGCAATGGGAAGCATTTCTGGCACTTGCTCTGGATCCCATGCCAGCGCCTGTAAGAAACAGTAAGGCAGGGAGGAAGCACTTGAAAGAAGAGTGAGGAGGGAAGGAGGAAAAAAGCTCACAAAACTCCCCAATTTGTATTTCCCTCAGAGCAAAATCCTCCTTGCTGAGGAATGAATGGCACCGGCAAAGAGGCTGCCAGTCCTCTTGTCAACTTCTGCTTCATTCACCATTTCCTTTCCCCTCCAGGGCCCCAGACAGAGCCATGTGCCAAGACTGTATCCACACATCTACCCAAACCCATACCTGTGTTCTTCATTGACTGCTCTGTAACACCACATATCAATACCTCACCAGATTATACTTCATTTATTTATCAGCTGGTTCAAAGATCAGGCACCCATTCCTGTTTCTCTCCCTGGCAATCCTCTGTTGATTCTCATTGCTCCAGTGTTTTATGCTGTTCTGCCAGCTCTTCAGACTAAACTCAGCTGACTGAGTCAGCAAAAATCCACCTCTGTGGAGCTGCACCACAACTGTCAGTTGATCTGATTTTTAGAATTTTACCAGGCATTTGGGCTGGTATGCAGTCAGAGGGAAACTGGGTAGTAAAAGTCTCCAAGAGTTTGGGAAGATTGGACTTATATAGTTATATACTCTTGGAACTAAGAAGTCTAAAGTGAAGAAGTCTAAAACATTTATTTCATGAGTGTTCAGCAGTAAAATGTTGCCCAAAATCAACAAGTCCCAAATCCTTCTGTCTGCAGGCAGGTGATGCTCAGACTGAGAAAAAGCTTTTTTCAAAAGTAAACTTGCACTGATATTCACACATCAGCTAAGGAAAACAGTATTTTTTCTTGTGCCTCCTGGGCTCTGTCAGAACACTTCTGCTACAGACTCACACCCCCTGCTCTGTTTCTGAGCCAACACTCTCAGGTAACACACACACACCTGAGCCACAGCAGCACAGCCCCTCTCACTTTACCACCTAGCACACCTCAAACCAATTCTGAGCTCCTGCTGCCACTTCCAAGAGCCTGAAGCCCTGCTGGGAAAGCACAGCCAGGTATCAGGGAGAGGGATAACATCCTGCTGCCCACTGCAATGCCTTACAAGAGGGAAACACAGAGCAGGTGAGAGGCATAGAGGGGGATAAACATTTAAGATGTCACTTCACAATATGGAAGTTAACAGTATCTCACACAAAACATGTTTCAGTGAGAGTCAGACAGGTATTTTTAGACCTGTGGTAAAGCAGGTGATCCAGGAAGCAACACAATTTCCAGATTACCAGGGATGAAACTATTGGTCTCAGAGCAAAGCAACAGATCTCAAGGAACAACACTACTGATACAGATTTTTAAAAGCACACAAGCCAGCACATGGAGAAATAAGATCAATTTACAGCAAAAGCACAATAAGGTAAGGAGCTAGAAAATGAGCTTTGCCAGCCAACTACTGTGACAGCAACACTGTGCAGTGGGTTTGGGCTCTCTGGAAATATCTGTGCATCCCACAGCTCCAACACCACTTGGCCCCTGCACCTCTCCCTTTACTACTCTGCCACCAGCTCCTCTCCCATGGCAGTTACCTCAATACAACCCTCTCAGTGAGGGCTACCAGTAGCACACACAAACCTTTCATTACGGTGGCAATAAACTCCTCTCCATTTCCACCAGCCCTCACCATGTATCTCAATTCTACACTCCATGAAATAATGACATAGGTAAACATATATGTACACTGAAGGTAATTTCTCCTACAAACACCCAGCCACAGAATGTACCTTGCAGGGAAATGGGTATTTTGTGTGTGTGTGCCCCCATCCTCCCCACAAAAGTGTTACTATGGTATGGCAGGTTTCAAGGAGAAAATTCTGCTTCTGACTGTTTTCATTCAGGCGTAATTTCTGGATTAAGGTAATTAAAAGACAAATACAGATGCAATATAAATCCTGCACAGACTGTATTTTATGCCTGAAGATATTACCACATAGAATATTTACAGATAGAAACAGTGTGCTTTGAAAACAAAGCTTTACCCAAAAATTAATTTTAATATAAAGGCAACCCAAACTCCAGAAGGCATGAGCATCTTGAAAATCAGAAAATACTTTAGAGCCATGCTTGTAACTTTACCACTACTCCCAGTTTGCTGGGATGATGATAGAACTTGACCTTTTCCCTCTCAATCAGTGGAACTCTCAGACACCACTACAATCGCTTTGAAAATATCCTACTTTCAGAGCTAAACTTGAAGGCTGAAAGGGAAACTGGGAAAAAAAGAAGGTCACAGCATGCTATAGACTGATCTTTTGGGAAATTGGACACTTGTCTTTGAATTCTGAATGCTTGAGATGAGTAATGCAGACCTTCAAAAGGTGTCATTTGCCATCAGATGCTGCTGTACAACCAGAACAGCTCTCATAGGCCACCTCTAACACCCCAATCTCCCATGTTACAAACCCCCAGTCCCTTCTCCAGACACAGAGGGCCTGAATCTGACCATTTCCATTCAAATCCCTGCTTTCACGCGCACACACACACACACCCATTATTTCCCAAATGTGAGGCAGTCACTCCTTCCCAAGCCATTGCATTTGGTACTTCCAAACTCATTCAGTTCAACAGCCCCTGTCCAGTAAGAGCTCCCTCAGACAGGAAGGGCAGGAATCCTGTCAGCGAGTGGCTGTGCTGCTGCTCCTCCAGACACATTTCCTTCTAACCCCCACAGCTCCAGGCCTGTGGGACAAGGATGCAGAGGGAGAGAGCCAAGATGCAACTGCTGCCTCTGCTCAGGCACACACACACACACAGCTTCTGCTTCCTCCAGGGGGTTTGCTGAGCACACCTCAAGTTTCACAACCCACATCCTGCCAGGCCTTCCAAAGCAGAAGTGAATAAATGCCCATTTACAAGCCACAGAAAATAAGAGCACGCAGAAGGTGAACTGGGTGTAATTTCCTTAAATCTCAACCAAAATTCATCTCTGAAGGGCAGAGGAAAAGGATGGAAAAGGATGTTGAGGCCTGTCTCCATGAGGGATATGAGTCATTGCATACTGGCAAACACACTCTGAAGTGACAAAAATCACCTCCAATAGAGATATGAATGTGGGTAAAATATGGCATTTCCCTGGAGAACAATGTTACATCTTTTCATTTGCAGACTTCAGTGAGATTAGCAACGATCTCCATGCTTCTGACAGCAGGATAGCATCTGGCATGTGCAGGAATGGCTGCAGCCAACCCAGCATCACCTCACAGCTCGCTGGCAAACAGGAAAGGGAGTCAACACTTCCAGATTTTACTAGTGCTTTGATGAGTTTTGGGGTTTAGCTTTATGCAATGTAATTTACCTCACAAACCAAACCCTTTTAAAGGCTCAGCAGCCTTCAAAAATTTGAGTAAGGAAAGAGAAAAAACCCACAGTTGTGAGATTTTCACTGAAGTGATCCATTAAAAATTAAATTACACGACCACAAGCAGACAGCTCATCTAATAACTTTCATTTAGTTGACTTCTGAATAAAATTAATTACTGCTCTTCTGCATAAGCACCCTCAAATATATAAACTGTAACAGACCAAAGGTTTATACCCAGCCCAGAGATGAGAAATGTACAACTGAGCAAAGAAACAGAATCAAAATATAGCCCATTAGGATTTATTTCAGTAACTGCCACATGCAGAACAACTGCAAACTGCTACACACATCCATCTGGCACACATGGAAGTATCATCCTAGACATACCTCGACTGCTGCTTCTTTTTCAGGTGGGTACCTCCTTCTCATTACTGATTAAGCTGCCATTCTGGAGCTCGATGGAAAGGAGTTGGCAACATTTGTTTAACATGAAGACTACCGTGAGCTTTCTAAATTTGCACATGCTGTGGGATTTGCCTTCAGCCTCGGTGCTCAACACCACCCAGTCCTCCCCCCTGTGCAAGGCAGGAAGGGGGCTCCCAGCCAGATGTTCCTGGAGTACATCCCATGTGCTCAACACAGAAAACCAGGAAAGCTTTCACTTTTAAAACTTGACTTCACTGTCCCCAGGTGAAGTCTTTAAGGGTGCTGTTACCTACACTTACAGCAGCACTGAGAGGCTCCTGACTTAGCTATGAATCATGTCCACACCCTGAGCTCAAAGCTGTCAGGACCTTCATTACCAACTACTGCAAGGAAAGGGCCATTTCCACACCAGCAGCAGAGTGGCTGCTGTCCCCACATGGCACTGAGGCCGTGTGTGCGTGGGGTGGCACTGAGGCCGTGTGTGTGTGGGGTGGCACTGAGGCTGTGTGTGTGTGGGGTGGCACTGCGGGAACGCAGGGCAGCAGGGCGAGCACATGGGGGTGCGTGGAGGCAGAGTGGGCAGGGTACACGGAGCAGCAGGTGGAGCGTGTGTGCGGGGAACGAGCAGAAGCAGGTGGACACGTACGGGGTGTGCGGGTGGGTGCACACGGGCTGTGAAGCACATGTCGGGCACGGAGCCATGGCGGGAAGCTTCCTTTACAAGCAGGGACCTTCTGCTCAGGGCCCGGCCTGCAGACACTGCCCTCCTCCAGCGGGTTTAACCCACACTGCGCAAAACAATCAACCTTTCCCCTTAGGGATTATCTCCTTGTCTGCTCCGGCACTGCTGGGCCGCCCAAACCCACCCGCAGCGAGGTAAAAGTGCTGAGAGAGGGCCCGGCTGCCTCGGGAGCCGTCAGGCTCCGCCGCGGGCCGAGGAGCCGCCGCAGGTGCCGGCGGGGGGAGGAACGGACAAAGGGCGGCGGCACCTGCACTCACCATCGGTAGCAGCCCTCGCTGGCCTCTAGCGTGAAGTTGACGCGGGTGCCGCGGGTGAAGGGGAGCAGCACCTTGGGGGTGTTGAGCTTGGAGGAGGCGGCGAGGTGCAGCAGGAGGAGCAGAGGCAGCGCCCCGGGCGCGGGCAGAGCCATGCTGCGCGCCGGCGGGACCCAGAGGGGCGCGAAAGTGCGGCGGGAGCGGCGCGGCGGGGCCGGGCAGGGCGGCCCGGGGGCAGGGCCTCCCTCCGCCCTCCGGGGCCGCACCGCCCTCCCTCGGGGGAACTCCAGCGGCGCCGACTGCGAGGCGCTGGTCGTTTGAAAAACCTCCTTTTCTCCGGGCCTAACCCCAAGCATCTCCTAGGAGTCGTGCTCCAGACCCTTCCCCGGACAGGCTCCAGCACCTCAATGGCTGTTATGTCCTGGGGGAACCAAAGCTAAACGCAGGATTCGAAGCCTGGCTTCTCCCGAGCGCAGCACAGGGGGGACGGTCACGGCCCTAGTCCTGCTGCCCCTGGCCTTCCCGGCCCCCTTCGTGCTCCCCGGGCACACGGGTGCTAACAGCCCCACTAACCTATGGTTCATTCATTGTCATAGCATCTCAGAACGGTTTGGGTTGGAAGGGACCGTAACTCACCGACTCCCACCCCTGCCATGGGCAGGGACACCTTCCACTGTCCCAGGCCGCTCCAAGCCCCATCCAGCCAGGCCTTGGACACTTGCAGGCATCCAGGGGCAGCCACAGCTGCTGTGGGCACCCTGTGCCAGGGCCTGCCCACCCTCACAGGCAGGAATTTCTTCTTAACATCTAATCTCAAACACCTCTCTCTCAGTTTGAAGCCATTCTCCCTTTCCCTGTCACCCCAGGCCCTTGCAAATTGCCTCTCCCCATCTTTTTTGTCAGCCCCTTAAGGTACTGGAAGGCCACAATTACATTACACCAAAGCTTCCCCAGGCTGAACAAACCCAATTGTCCCAGCTTTTCCTTGTATGAAAGATGCTCCATGTGTGGAGGATCCACCTGTCCTTACCTATGACAGAGGGATGGTACATGTATGCATCAGGAAAATTGACTTCGGGAAGGGCAAAAGCTTCTTGGAGTAAAGATCATTAAATCCTACCCAGAAGGTCAGCTCCTGTCCAGGGACACCAGCTAAGAGTTTACCCAGCTCTAATTTAGGTGGTATTATCGAAGTTAACCAGTTCTCATTTATGCTAAGCAAGTAAACTTATACAGGATGTTCTCTTTACATAGGAGCACTTTTTGCACTATTTATTCAGCTCGTGTTTTATTTATCAGTACCTCAGCAATGCTGTTCCACTTTCTGTCCCAGAAGAATGTGTAGTCCTGGACAGTTCACTTCTCCCTGCAGCTTATGTGTGTGTATTACTCATTTTCTGATTGCACATCATGAAACTGTGTGGTCTGATTTAGAGAAGAGCTGAACTTTACAGCTGCAATTTCAGTCAATAGGAGCTGGGCCTAGAGAGATGTGTAATGTTAAAGGTTTGGCAAATCAAGCCCCTGCACTTTAAATTGCTCCCCAAAATACTGAGGGTTGTTTATTTTCTTTACTTTTTCTCTCATTGAAGTTGGAACCTTTCTTTGTAGGCATGTTAGGAAGATAAGTTCAGTAAAGACTGGAATATTAGGGAGGAATTTGATAAAATCGCCCACGATTGCAGAGTGCAATGTGTTTACAGTTGGTACAATTACAACTGAGTAAATAAGAGGTAGATAGTGAGTACCTTGCATCCTGTGTTGTGAATGAGGTGAGGAAATATCTTTATCCCAGTACTTCCTAGCTTTAAAAGCAGGGTGTGCAATCTCAGAATTTACTTCCTTTCTCTCATCAGCAGTGGTGGTGATGAGTATTCAATGCGAGAACAATAATTTTCCAGTCACAAACACTTCTTAGAGTTATTTTCATGAGGACCAGCAGGGTGCAGTTAGTTACTTAAAGCTTATTGATGAAACATGACAGTGAAGTACTGCAAGTAAACATCCAACACATCTTTCAGAGCATACTGAGCAATTTTAAGAGCAGAGTAAGGCAGGAGACACTGATGAGCAAATCTGCAGTTTCCATTATATGGGAAAATTACCACGTGAATTTTGTGCTCACTTGAATTGGAAGTCATGCATTGCAGCACTGTGTTAGCACTTCTTTTGGCCAGAGGAGGGTGAGCTGGGAGGCAGCCAGTGCAGTGTGTGCTCGGTGACCCTGACTCGGGGGTAGGAGTCACTAAAACATCAGCGGCTGACTTAGCAGCGGTGCTGCACTGTTCTGCTTTCCCCTTCCATGCTGCTGTGAGATCCATAGGAGCCAGCACATCCCTCCTCCCAGAACAACACCTCCTCTCAGGGTTACCTGGTGTGCTGCAGACTGGGAACATGATACACGCACCAGGAATGTGAGGTGATTTTACAGACATCTCAATGTACGCCGGAGTAAGTCTGATAAAGAACACAAATGGAAATGTCTTGGTCACAAAGAATGCGATTACAGAGCGATAAGAGGGAGTGCTTTAACGAGCTGCTTAAGGAGGGAGATAGGCAAACAATAAATGGTTGTTCCCTAAGGAGCTGAGCCTTGTGTGGAAGAATTTCAAGGGATTTCAGAGGCAATCAAAATACATGCAATAAATAACAAAACAACAGGTGCTGACCATGTTTCTACTGGAATATGAAACTAAAAGGGAGAGAATTACTGGAAGATTTTACAAACTCACTTGGCTGGTCTGAAGGTCTGAAAACACTGCCAATGAACCAAAGAAACATGTACTCTGATCAAATATTTTAAATCTATCTATTTCTGAGGGAAATATATTTTTCATAAAGCTAAAATGTGTATAAAATGTGTATCAATACATTATTAGGTGATCTGTTGGCAGTGAAATACTTTTAAATCCTTGTTCAAGAAAAAGAAGTATTTGAATGGCACAGTGAAAAAGGACCATCTGGACAATAAACACTTGGCTTACTTTTCAGGCGTTTCATATTTTTAAATGTCTAAATAATTTAAAATAGTTTAAATACTCATCTTCAAAACAAAAGAACCCCAAGAGAACCCAAACCTAAACAACAAAACCAACTCTGAATAAAAGCAACTTAGAAGGTGAAACTTCAGCAAAATGCTAAGGCAACAAGGTATGGAGGGTTACTTTAAAGTGCACTAGGTGAGGCTGACCCAAACCAGCTCTAATCCTACCCCCTGCAGGTATGTCTGTACTTGTGTGTTAACAGTGCAGGCCACTCTGGGAAGCTTCGGCAGCTTAATGCATTAGGTACAATTTACTTGTAAGAGCAGTTTCATTAAGCTGAAAGAATCAGGGCTCACCCAGCAGAATGATGAAAAACACTCTCCATTATCACACTCCTGAACCTCTCAAATAAAATAATATTTGATTTAAAGGCTGAAGAATGACTGACAAGCACTAGTAATACATTTAGTGAAATGCCTGTTCCTGTAGGGATGCAGCTCTGGTTGGGAAGAGAATGTGGAGCTGCCTACACCATGCTGAGGAGGAGATGAAAAGGGCAGGTCAATAGACTTGACAAAGAAGGTGGTCTGGGAATAGTAACTTTAGAGCAGAATAACAGTGATGGGCCTCTTTTTTTGACTGATGGTTTATATGTTTACGCTGCAGAACAGAACAGCATCCTTTAAAAATCACTGGGAAAGATGGTCAGCTTCCTTCCTCCCTGGCAGGCTGCTGCTCCCCTTGTCCATCTTACCCATCACTGAGCTTCAAGTACATGTATTTCCCAACTGAACAACTCAAGGGCTGTCATTGCTAGGCTTTTTTTTTTGCTTAATTCACTTCCTGGTTCCACCCCAAAAGCTGCAAATCCTTGAAAAGTATCTCCACCAAAGGAACTTCAGTCAAAGAGGTACGTAAAGCATCCAATATATTAAAAAGTACCTAAAACCCAACAACAGAGGAGCAGCACTTCAGCTGGTGTCCCTTAGCGCCAGCAAAAGATTCAGGGAATCCCAGAATGGTTTGGGCTGGGTGGGACCTTCAAGCCCATCCCATCCCATCCCACCATGGGCTGGGACACCTTGCAGTACCCCAGGCTGCCCCAAGCCCCATCCAGCCTGGCGTTGATCCTGCCCCCAGCTGCACGTGGAGCAGTTCGGGGTCAGGTGTGTGCTCAGCTGCTCCTGCTGCCTGCAGAAATTGAGCTGTAAGAGGAGCCATTACACTGCGTTACCTCACAATTGGTATTGGAGACTTACAGAGTACAGGAAGAGTCCTTTCCCAGTTATTTTTTTATCACTTTCTCCACCAGCAATCACGTTCAATTTACTGTATTAGACTTTTGCATCTTCGTACAACGATGGAAGGCTTTATGAGAACATCCTCTCAGCCTTACTATTGATTTCTACAGGGGTAAGGATGGACTGACAGCAATATAAAACTGAACATTTTGGTTATCCTGCCAGGATTTTCCTTCCTTCCAAGGTGTTAGGCCAAAGGAAGGCGTAAATTCAAAAAATGTCCAAAATTAAGGGAGGCAGTTACTGGTGTCAAGGAAGGAATATTCAAAATTGATCGAGGTTGAGTTAGTTCAGGTTATTGAGACAAGAGCACTTGTGTTTTTAGAAAATGGATAAAATGAGAGGCAAGCCTGCTTTCTTTGCACAGCCTCATCTGCCAGGGATGATGCTGGGAGTTTTCCAATGTGTACCAGGTTGCAACTGAGTCCTCACAGAGAAATGCAGCTCTTTAGATCCCTGTTCCTGTTGCATAAATCCATTCGATATGCAAGACTTTCCCAGATGGGATAAAACCAACCTCACTAATTTATGCAGGATGAGTCTGATAACATTGCGATTATGAAATAGCAGCATCAGATAAAAATAAACAGTTTTCACTTCAGAATTTATCTACCTTTCTCATGTAAATTTATGGTTATTAAAGGAGGTTATTTATAGGTGTCTTTTGAAACTGTTACATAACAGTGCTTCTGCCCTGTGCCTTTGTACACAGATAGAAATCACATTAATGAGCTATTCACCCAACAACTCAATGAATGCAGGAGTGAGGAGAATTCACAAGATGAGACAAGTAACAAACAAAAATCCCAACCTTTGTTTCTGCTTTAAATACATCAGGGAAATTCAGCAGAACACAGAAGTCTTAAAACTGGAAAACAATGAATACAATTTATGAGCAGGCATGTGAATATGTTTAATGA